CTTTAGAGCCAATTATTGAGCAGAGTTTTAATGGTACCCTGAGCGCCGGTTAGAGTGTGGATGCGCCTCCTGGAGGGATGTCAGTTTGGGGTTGGAATGTTTCAGTCTGATCAGGGTTTAAAGAATGTAATTCAAGCAATGTGCCTCCTTGCTGGCTGACAGTCCCTGAAATACAGCCGCCTCGCTCGAATGAATCCCATGACGGAAGAACTTTATCCCCCTGCAATTCGTGGAATGGTGCTGCTTGGGGAGCCGAGGGACCGAGGAGCACTTTCTCACGGCAGATCCGTGTAAGAGTTTCCAGCTGTCCCGCACGTGAGAGCCAGCCCTGGTCCTGTGGGATCGTGAGCTGGGGGGACACTGTTACAGCAGCTGCATTTCATCACCGGTTGGAGGCTCTTTGCAGCCGGATGGCCCCAAATGGCAGCTACCAGACCGTGATCAAATAGTTAATAATGCCTCTCAGCCAAAATAATCCCAAACCCACCCAAGTCTGGTTTAGGGACGAGTGGGTGTGGTGCAGCTGTCACATTGCTCATCGGTTTTTGTGGGGAGGGTATGTTTCAGTTTAGCAATTCGAACTTTTCCCTATGGGCTTCTCCAGATGTTTATTTCTGATAATTCCTGCATTAGGCGGAAATAATTCCGCTGAATCCGAAGACTTGTAGCCTCGGGATGAATTCATGCATTCGCCATAGCAGTGTCTGGAGTGGTTTTGGGACTTCAGTGGCCCCAGTCATTTGTTGCAGTCCCCGACCCCTCCCCAACCCTGGTGGTGGAAGGGGCTGTGTGAGGTGAACTCTCAAGGTATGTGGTTTGAGATAATACCTGATAACGGTATTATTGTGCCTGATGCTACTTAGATGTCTTTGACTCCCTATTTGCTGTTTGTCTGTTACTGCTGGAAAGGCTCTTCAGGCAGGCATATGTGGGATCAGTTTATTTTGATGGAGGAACTGGGTTTTGCTCCTGCTGGCTGCCATAGAATCACTACCATAAATCCAGTCTTGCCCGAAGAATAAACCTGGTTGGGATGTAAAAGGCTTTACTTCTCAGGGGGGAAGGGACTGCTCCAACTTCTGGACCCAGGGGATGAGGACACAAGGTAGTGCCTTCCAAGAGGGCTGGCACAAGGGTGGCAGTGCTGGTGTCAGATCTGGAGCAGGCTGTCCCAAAAGCTGCTCCTGAGGCAATGTGGAGCTGGAGGAGGTGCCTGCAGCACTATGGAGCCACTGGCAATAAATCTGAGTTAAGGTCCTAGAGTTCCAGGGGTGTTTGAAACCTTGATCATGGCTGCTTTGTCCCATCCCAAACCCTTCTGGGGATTTGCTGCCTGTGAAGGTCCCTCATGCAGCAATGCCAGGTGATGGCTGGAGGGGCTGCCTGGCTCTGGGCTGATGCCACTGGTGGCTCCCTGTAGGGTGTGTGGGGGATCAGGTGGGAAGAGGCTCCGTGGACAGTGGGAATAAAAGGAAAGAGCAGGAAGCAACTGCCCTGGGAAGTGTGGATGGGTCCCATGTGAGTGTGTGGCTGTCTGTGGTTTGGGATGGGGGTGGGTGGCTGCAGGGGTCACTGCGGCCCACAGAGGGGAAAACTGGTATTAAGTGACATCCCTAACCCTGTGCAGGGGTCACTGCTGCCGGCAAAGCCCCGCCCTGAGCTAGAGCAGCCTCTGCTGGGGGGGGTGGTCCCTCAGGAATTCAAGGAGCAGGCAGTTCCTTGGAGCACTGGGGAACGTGCTGGTGCTCAAGCCAGTCCCGCAGCTGTTGGCAGTGCTGCAAATGGCCTTGCAGCAATTTGGCATTCAATTCATACGAGTGAGTGTTAATTTTAGTAATCTCAAGTTATGTGTGTTGGAAGTAAGGATTATACCCATGACTGTTTCCCGTGGAAAGTCCATCACACCGTTTCTTCTCCCGAGACCTGTGCTCGGGAGAACACACAGCAGAGCAAGCACAGATCTGCTGAGCACAAGCACTGAATCCCAAAGGATCTCTAAAGGACAGGATTTTCTTTGGGGGATGCCCAATGTTTCCTGCAGTCAGGCCCCCTGACAGCCAAGGAGCGGGTCCTTCATGGACACCCTGGCCAGCTGTGTGCACATCTGGAGCCAGCATCTCACAGTGGTGGCAGTGAAGAGCAGGTAAGAGCTGCCTGTGTGCTGTGCCCTCCCGAAGAGACCACGGCAAGGTTTCATTTTGAAAATGCTTTAATAAGGAAGTGTTGACAACACCGTTTTGCAAAATGTAAAGGTAACTATACAAATTCTTAATACAAAAAGAATAAATTAAAAGCAGATCTTTTTTAATTCTGCGACTTTTTCTACAACATACATATTTTTTTTTCCTTGATTACAGTTGAACAGAATCCAGTAAAATCATTTTCCATGCTCTAAAGTTCAATTTCAGGAGAGACCTAATTTTTTTTTTCCTTCTTTTTTTTTTTCCTTTTTTTTTTTAAACTAGAGAGTCCATTTTACACAACCTGTAATAAAACTATTGACATTAATATATATGTAAAACTTTACATCTAGTTAACTAAGCAGTAACTGGTCATCTGATAGCACCTGAATGGGGATTGGCTATGCCTGAAACTAAAACTAATACAGAGTGAAAACAAATTGGACTGTTTCAACATTTTCAACACTCGACTGCATATAATACCATTTAAAAATAAACCCTGCCTCCAGCACAGCCCAGTGCATGGACTGTCCACTGGCTCCTGCCCACACAGAGGGAGCGTCAGACAACGGAGACGAAGAACGCGGTTGTGGCTTTATGGCAGATGGAGCCTTGAAAAATAAAAAAAGTAAAGGAGGGGTTAAGTTGGTAGTCAAGTGCTTGTCTATAATAGCTATGTATATACCCCTCCGTGTTATACTTAAATATGTTAATCTCATATGATTAACATTTTATGTACATTTGTGTTTAATTGAATTGAGCTAAACAGTAAAACCTGTTTTACTTAATCTGTCTTTACTACCAGACTGGCTGCTCACGTGTGCCTTGATTGCAAACCAGAAAAGCAGAACACAAAGCAAAACTCAATCCGTTTCTAGAAAGCTTTTTCTCCACTCCAGCCTGTTTGCAATTCAGGCTAAACATTTTTTTTTCTTCCTCCCCCCAATTTCAGGGCTGCCACCTTTTAACCTTTGCTGCAAAACTGCAGAGCTGGTCTTGAAGGAATTAATGTTTCTTCCTGTAGTGCCCAGAGGCCTCATAGTGCCGCTGTTGTTGAATTCTTTTTAATTAAAAGAAGGTACACATTAAAAAAAAAACCAACCCAAACCACTTACCAGGGAAATTAAAAAGAAAACAGACAGTTGCTCAGAGCCCCTAAAAATCCTTGGGCTAAATTACTTGCTGCTGCTTAATTTGGTCCTTATTTAATCCTTTCACTTTAGCTTCCAAATCTTATCAGCAAATGTCATTAATCAGTACTATCTCTTATCCAGCTAAAAATCCAATTAGGAGCTTGAAATAATTCCCATGTTAAAGACCCCAAAGCACAAAGAGATGGTGAAAACAGCATTTTGCATGTCCAGATAAAGGGTGCAATCTCATCCCTGGCTGTTGTTCCAGAATTGGACACAAGGCTTCAATTACTGTCACAGGGTGTCACACTCCCAGGGTGATGCTTCAAGGAGACCCAGAAGCACAAGGTTTGTGTGGCCACCTTTGAAAACCCCTGGCCAGTGTTTCTTGCTTTTTTTTCATAGGAGTAATTCATTTATGCTTCATGTATGAACATGAAAGGGTCTCCTTACCATATAATGGTTTGGGTTGGAAGGGACATTAAAGCTCATCTCGTTCCAACCCCCTGCCATGGGCAGGGACACCTTCCACTAGACCAGGTTGCTCAGAGCCCCATCCAGCTTGGGCTTTTGCCTCATCCAATCCTAACTCTGCCTTGGATTTCCCTGGACAAATAAACAGCCTTTCAGCCTGTCATTGTCTCATCTCTGCAAGGCCACCCCCCTGCCTCACCAGCCATGCGAGGCAGCAGCGCAGGGAACTGAAGCCAACATTTCTGGTGTGAGTTGCAGAAAGGTATTAATATTTAGAAACCCCATTGTTTTTCAAAGCCTAATTATGTAGAACCCTTCTCTCTTAAAGCCTGGAATGCAGTTTTCCAGCAATTTTAATACCAAAAGGTGTGGCAGCCCCCCAAGTCGCTGTGTTTAATTTGAAACGTTTCGCCCTACTTTGTCTGGTAGATGCTGTTGTTATTCTTGGAACACACACACACACACACACACACTCTCAACACACACATACACACTCGCACGTTTTTTTTTTTTTCCTTTTTCCTTAAAACTAAAGCTAACTTCAGTTTCTGCTTTTCACAAAGTAACCCCCTCCAGCCGTTTCTTTTAATGCCTTTCCCATAGGAAATCATCGTTTGCACGCACAAACGGGGGAAGGCCGGGCGCCTCCCCCCATCGAGTGGCAATAAAAACAGCATAGCACCGCAGTGAAGACTAGACGTGCCAGCTTCAACATCCACCTAGATTGTGCACTTGTTCATTACAAAAGTGTCTTTGAGGCCTTTTAAAGTTCCATGGCTTGACATGTATAAAGCATTGCTCAAAAGTATGTGTAAACTTGCGGCTCCTTCCATGACGCGCTCGTGCGACTCCTTTTGGTATCAGCAGGCAGCTCTCGCTCGTGTCCAACACCTCCCTCAGTCGCTTCTCTCCCTTGTGGTCTCGCAGTGGGAAGATTTGCCTGTCTGCTGGTTGTCCAACCCCACTCCGCCGCGGAGCCTTCCTGTTTCCCGACAGACCGGTTCTCCCACACAGCAGCACACGGGTGACGAGCCCTTTGCTACACGGGTGCTAACGAGGGGAAGATGAGTGGAACCGATATGTTGACGCAGCTCTACCGTGTCGATTCGACTGCGATGTGCTTTCCCTTTGACTTCACCTTGACGCTTCGTGCAGAAATCGATTTGAATTTATCGGCTGTATCTGTTTGCAGAAAGGCGTTTTTGTTGTTTTTTTTTTTTTTTTTTTTTTGGCAATTTTTACCTTTTATCAAAAAAAACCGTCGCAACCCCCAACCTCTCTGTGCGTTGGTGGGCACCCTGTGCCAGCCACAGAGATGCTGTGAGTGCAGTACTCGCCTCTGCTTTAGGTAATGCCTTTGTAAACCTTGTTTGTCCAGTTTAACAGTAGCTTTTAGACAGCGATGCTGTGATACCAGCCCAGACCTCTGGTGTGTCTGCAGCGCAGGGGGTGGTTTTACTCGCGTATAGGTGGGCTCCAAGCGAAGAAGGAAATGCCATTTTACAGGAGGTGGCCGCGTCTGCCACCGAGTTAAAAGGAGGGAGATGTTCTTGTAGCTGAAACTTGCGAGCAAACTTGTCCTGCAAGCGGTGGTGTGGTGATTTTTGGCAGTGCTGATCTGATTGTGACACTGACACATCTCTGCAGTGATGGGATGTTGCTGTTTCTTCAGAACAGATGCACTTTCAGGACTATGGTATCCACTTCTCAGCCTCTGTCCCATCCCCGCCCCCTTAAAACTAAGTCTGTTGGCTTCAGCTCGCAGGTCATGGAACTCTCACTGCTGTTACGTGCCGTGGAACACTAAGATTTGATGTAAGCCTTGAAAGGCTTCCATTGTTTCAAAGGAAAACCAATTTTTAAACTGCCAACTGGCTGTTCAGGTGTCTGCTCCTCTCCGCCCACTGCGGTGGGAGGGACGGGCACCTGCCTGGCCGTGGGATGTGCTGCGCTCCGTCGCTGCCGCGGTGGATGTCTCAGGGCCAGTGTTCCATAAATGTCGCCTTGAATTGCATCGTGAGAAAAGTGCTTAGACTTGAAGCTGGTGCTGGGTGACAGTGCATCTGGGTAAGGCAAATGAGAGGCAGTGAGGTGATCTCAGAATGGCATTGATGTGATTAACTTGAGGTCAGGGGTTCACACTAGAGTCCCAGGCTTGGCTTTTTCCTGCCCATACCACTGGACATCTGCTAATTCTGGATAGAGGGGAGAATCCAGGAAACAGCTATCATTGTAGTTCCTGCAGGAGAAATGAAACTTTGTTAGGACAGTGAGGCCTCTTGAGAAGTTCAACCATGAGCATTAAACATTGTATTGTGGGTGGAGAGGAATGCAGGATATTCAGACCCCACTGCACTCTGCAGGTATTCCCAAGCTGATATTTGGGGTGCAGGACTCTGCTTTGACCCAGTTTGATCTTGCCCAGCGGTCCCGTTTGCCCCAGCAAGCTCCTTGTTGTGAGGAGGCAGGAGAAAGCTGAGCTCTGACAGCTTCTCCACAGCCAGGGTGCCCTGACATTTGGATGCAGGAATGGCAGCAGGCAGAGCTGCTGTGCTTCCAGCCTGAGGGCTCTGCCTGAGGGCTCTGCCTGAGGGCTCTGCCTTGCTGTCCTGCCCAGTAGTAAGCTGGAGTAAGGAGGTTTTTGGTAGGATGCTCCCCAGGGAGCAAGTTCTAAGTGCAGCTCTCTCAGCCATGTACTGTATTATCCAGTGGGAATGTGGGAAGAGGAGGGTGGTTGGTGATGCTTTCCTGCAGCACTTCTGCTCTGGGCAGAGGCTTGTGCATCACCTGGCAATCCCAGAGTTATGTGGCTTTCCAAGGGTGAACCAGGAAGCAACTAGTGAGAGCGTGCCAGGTCTGATGTGGAAAGGATTGTGTTCTGCTGCAGACAGCCTAGCCCTCAAATCGAGGCTCCTGACAAGCTACTGCTTCTTCTGCTGCCTTTACTGAGCACATGAGACAGTTCACGAGAATTTTCTTTGCTATTTATGTTAAGAGCTCTGATCAGGATCAGCTCCTGGCTTAGGCTGTGGAGCTACTTGCCAGAGGAAAGCACTGAGGTCAAAATCTGGATCTTTTGAAAAGTGACTGCTCTATCTGCACAGCAATAGCCAGAATTGATGTCTCTCCCTCACACTTTGATTTGAACCGACTTCTAAGCTAGAGATTGTTTTGAGGCCAAAAGTGGGAGATGTGTTTTCATTTTGTGTACTCTGGGATTCTCACTCCTTCCTCTGCTCCCTCCCCACCTTACAGGACTGTTCTCATCTGATTCAGTTCCTGCTTCCCCTGCCCTGTTTTCCACCTGGTTTCCCTGGAATTGGTCTGAGGGGAACCTGAGCAAGGGCATCACCATTTGCATATTAAAAAGCCTTTTGTTTCCCAGCACTGTGCTGGAGTGGGGAGGTTTATATCTCTAGAAAGTTGGGCTTGAAATACTTGACAGATGTCAGCTGTGAATGGTTGTAGATTCAAATGAGAGTGTCAGACAGAGATGGCAGTTTAATTAAAATAGAAATACTCTGAGGGTTTTTTTGTTCCCTCCACCGTTCCCCCCTCCTGTCTTCCCACAGGAACGGGGCCAGGGTTGCTCCTTGTTCCAGGAAACCTCGCTGCTTAGAGCCTCAGCTTCCCAGTTCTGCAGTAAGGAGGGAGGAGGGAGGAAGGGGCGCTGGGAGCTCAGGCCAGGTCCTCCGAGGCTCCCACCTACCCCAGCTCGTCTCCCTGCCACACTGCTCCCAGACTGTCCCCACAGCACTTTGCCCACCCTGCTCTGAATTGTCCCCAGCCACAGATTTGTCACCCCCCACTGCTCTCTGTGCCTGTGCAGCCCCTGCAGGAGCACAGAGCAGGCTGGCCCAAGTCCCTTTCACAGGGGAAAGTGCCACAGCAGCAGAATTGCTGAAAAGGCACAGAGAGCGGCTTCGAGATGCTTCCAAGTTGTTCTTCCAAGAGCTGAAGGAAGACTTGTTGGCAAACAAATGGGCACAGAATTAAAGGGCTGCTCTGGTGGGACAGTGGGACACCGGTTATTCCCACTGTGCTCACAGACTGTTAAGGCAGAAGGAGGAAAGAACAAAACGTTCCCTTACTATACCTCTATTCATCAGTACTTTGGTGGGTTGGAGACTGAGACTCATCCATAGTGGGTGAGTTGTCTGTTGCTTCTCTGAGCAAAGGAGAGCAAAAAAAGGAGGAAAGAGGAGAGAGGAAATGTTAAAGAAAAGAAATGACACAGACATTGTTAAGAGCTTATTAATCTAGTGGGGAAACAAGTTGATGACTCATCTTTAGAAATAGTTAGTGACACAAAAACATGTTGAGGATAACTGTCAATCTGCTGAGTTGTGCTAGGTGGGCACAGCTGGCCCTGCAGTGGGGGAGTCTGTGCTGTACATCTAATGGCAGACTGTGCCTGCTTCTCTGTAGTTATACACATGCCATGCGTGCTATGCTCAGCCATGAAATAAGTGCTGATTTGTCTCCAGTTCTTTTTGCACTGGTTGTTGGTAGAGGGCCTAAACTATAAATCCAGATAACTTCACTTTCACCAGCTGAGAATTTGGCTTGATGCAATTTTGCTGTGAGAGACGGGGTGCAGGATTTATCTTGAATGGAAAGATAAGAAAAGCTGGGATTATCCAAACAGATGTCTCAGCTGGCTGCTCACCCGTTTTACTTCTGATCATCATGGAGATGTTTAGAAGAATTAGGACTGGGATGGAGACTAAGATCTGAGTCTAGACTCAAACCCTTAGTTGTGGAAATTTCAGTGTATGGTAAAGGTAGGTGCCATTTTGCCTATCTTGCTATCCCTTGACTTTTTGTGAAATGGGACCAGGAACACTTTCCTGTTCTCAAGCTGAAAGCACATGCAAAGACCATGTGCGGCTGGATGTCAAATGTGTGAATTTAAAATCCAAGTAGGCCTAAGGGGTTGTGGTTATGATTCTCCTCACCTCCAATTTAAAGTGCAGTCATAAGCGGTGCTGGAGTAAAACCAGAGGTCAAGCCTGGTCATAGGTGACCAGGTTATTAAAGAGCACGAGATTTTCCAGTGGCTGCACAGTGAAATATTTGCAAAGTTACCAGTCCCAATTCATGACTCGGGTGATTAGATCCTTTTTCCTATTCAAGGGATTAGGGTATTTTGAGGACTGTAGTCTCAGTTCCAGCTGATCTCACCAAAATCTCATCCCGCAATCTGGGATGTGCTGAGTTAGTCGGGATCAGGAAATGACCTTTATTTCATGTGGCAGGACAGAATTACAGGCATTGCTAGAGAATACCCCTGGGAGCTTGCAAATGGCTGTTTGTTTACTCCTGGAACTCCCTGCCTTGCAAAGAGGTGCTAAAGAACCCAATTACTATATTTACATGAGTAATGGCTACCTCTGTGTAATGACTCACACTTTGGTGAAGCATTTCAGGTTAGTGGTAGCTGAAAAAAGACACACTTAACAGTCATGAAGACCCATTGCTGGGGAAAACTGAGCAGGAAAACCTGGTTGCTGCACACACAGGCACGGCAGGCACTGAACCTTGCCTTTACAACAAGGTCTTGGTGTAGACAGCCAGTGTGATGGCTGCTAAAAAAGAAATATCAGCTATTTCAACATATGACAATTGGAGGAAGGAGACTGTCCAAGCAGGAGGAACCTGCAAGGCTTCTTTCCCTGTGGATCCAGCACTGCTCGGAGCGGTGCTGCTGGGTGTGGATGGCACAGCCACGTCTCGTTCAGCCCAAAACAGAGCTCCACCACCAAGAGAGCATGGATGGGAGACTGGAAATGCTCTGTGCAGGTGCAGGCTATGGAAAATATTCCCCATATCTGTGCTCTCCCTGTGCTTGTGTGTGGGGAGGTTTTTCCCACCGGCACTGAGGTGGATTCTCCAACCTGATCCCACGGACACTCACCCAGTCTGCCACGTGAGAATGTGGTGGGGACTGCCCGGTGGCGTGGCTGCAAGTTCACTCGACGGCGTGGAACTCCTCTGGCTGTGAGGTAAGGCAGCTGGAAAACAACCAAGGGTGGAGAAAAACAACCAGTGAGGAGAGGGCACAAGGGTCAGGGTGGTTCAGAAGAATCATCTGGTCAGACCAGCAGAAACATGTCTGGCTGTGAGTAAACACAGCCTAGGACAGACCTCACCCTGTTCCTGGGTGACTGTGCCCGAACGTGGCACAGGAGCACCAGCCTACTGCTGACACTGCTGCGTGTCACGGGCTGGATCTGGCCCCAGCTCTGCAGGAATGCTGCATTTCAGCCTGGCCTCCAGCTCAATACAGCCACCCTGACTCTCCTGAGCCAGTCTGGGAGACACCACATTTCTCGCAGCATGGAAGCTTGGATTTCCTGATGCCTGGACTCCATGGGTCCTGAACTGGACAAGCTCAGCCTGTCGGGCTCAGCCTCCTGCTTCCAGGGATGGTGGGAGATGCTCTGTGTCCCTAGGAGCCAGGGCTGGCAGTGGCTAGAGTCTGGACAAGTACACAGCTTCATGTGCAAAGGAGGAAGGCAGTTCTGAAGATTTCAAAAGGCTACAACCACCTTTCACCATGCATTTGTAAAAGGTGAAGTTCGGCTTTGCTGACAGTCCACTGTGGGACCACAGAAAGGCTTATCTTACTCCAATGAAAACAGAAGCAAGCTGAACTAAAAGTGGGCAGCAGTTCTTGAGGGATTTTCCCTGGTGAGGATCCAGCTTGTAAATCCACCTGACTAATCCTTCCTCCTCCTCAAGTCCACACAGTGTTGACCCTCTGAAGTTAACACATGCCTAGAAGTCTGATCCTCTTTGAAGGACAGTGTGCAGTCCAGTAGAACTATTAGCTAGGGCTGAGCAGCTGAAATGATGGAGATTTCTACCTGGCATCCCCTTCTGCGCTGTTAAATTCTTTAGTTGCTGCCAAATGACACTGGAAGTGAAAAACAAATTTTAATCTGCTCCTTGGAGCTGACAGCCCCTAAGGTCAGTGTTCTCCCAGAGCTGTGACTGAGAATGGACTCTATCCACAAAACCAATCTATGCTGCCAGCTGGTCAGGACAAGCTGTGATTACTGAGCACACTTCCCCCTGTGCTGCCCAGATATCACATTTAGGTTTAAAGACCCAGATGGGTGGGGGAATGGACTGACTAACAGTGATTTTCACATTCTTTCACCCCAATCCCACATTTTCCTGAACTGGTAAGGTTTCCAAAGCCCACCAAGGCAAAGCTTTCCAGTGTTCAAGCATTTTCTGTTGCTGCGTGGAACAGAAATGCCCATTAACCAAAGGGAAGAAGACAGATTTTCATAGGGAGACAAAGGATGGTTCCAGCAGCTGCTCAGTTATGTCTTGGGCCACACCTCGTCCTCCTGTGAGCGTTGGCACCACACATAAATCAGCCTCTTCTCAGGAAGCTGTCAGTGGCCCATGAGGAGCCTGTGTCCAACCAGCTCTGGAGCTGGCAGAGAGTACAGGGCCCCGCTGGTGCCAGTGTGGTGGTCACCATGGACCAGGAGACATGCTGGGATGTCTGAGAGTCAAGAGCCAGCATGGGTGGACACTGGTCGGCCCAGGGAGGCCATGAGGGCCAGTGGCAAGCCAAGGCTGAGGTGTGTGGCTCAGGTTTTGAGCAGTCCTTGATCTGTCCACACTGTTTTGTCCAGTGGTGACTGATAGCCAGTAAATATTTAACCTTGGACTGTTTCACAGCACACTGTGGCCTTCTAAGTGTAATGAATTTGACTGTTTTCTTACCATTAATATTAACAGCACAGAGGAGTGCAAAGGTCTGTACATGACACAGAGGCATAATACTGCACAAACTTCATCACTCTGATTTTCAGGATATTATTAGCAGAGCTATTGGAACTGCATGGGAAAACCAAGTCTCAGCAGTGCACAGATGTCATCACTCAAACATTTTTGTGGGGGGTGAAGGGGTTGGGATGCCCCCAGTTAACCTTTCTCATGCTTTTTTCTCACTGAAGACACACATTCTCCTAGTCTGTGCTGAACCCCTCCTTGCTTCATCGTTCCCCTTGCTGTGATTACAAAGAGTGATGCTCCTCATGGTTTCATCACCTTCAGCCCCTAGTGCCCTCACCCAAACCCCCAAACTCTGAGGAAAGATCTGGCAATAACCAGGCTTCAGTCCCTCCCTGTCTTTTGAGCCTATCATTGCAAAGTGATGATTTCCACAGAAAAACATTCCCACTCAGTGAGTGTCTTGGACAAGGCTTACCCCCTAGTGTTATACCTCCAGGCTTGGTGAGCAGCACGTGAAGGCCAGATAACATGCTGTGGTCTGGCACTGCTCTCTAGCTGGGGTGTAATGCCTGGCACGAATCCGGGCTGCAGGAGGCCCCCATCCCTCCCACCCCTTCTCCCGGGCCGGACTCTCACCTGATGTTGCTTTACACATCTGAGGCATTCTCGTGACCCGGCTGTGCGCCACAAAGGTGCTTTGTGAAGATGTGCTGTACTGGGAGCTGCTGTCCGAGGAGGTGGAGCTCGTGTGCGAGAGGCGGCTGTGCTCCTTGTGGGAGGCCGTGGACCGCTGGTACCAGAGCCGCAGCTCGTCCGACACCGCAGTCCTACCCGAGCCTTTCTCGTGGCCCTCCCTGCCCAGAGATGGAGTCCTTATGATTTGGGAGCGGGAGGGGGTGAGCCTGACCGAGTCCACTTCATCTCCGTGCCAGTTCTCCTTAAACATCCCCCCCGCCGTGTAGGAGTTGGAGGTTTTGAATTGTGCTTTCACGCTGTAATGCCCCTCCTGGTCATTCTCCAGGCTCCGCACCACCACGGGCGTGGAGCTGCCCTCGATGTACAGGGGGTATTCTTTGATCCTGTACTGGGAGGAGGGCTGGCTCTGGCTGTGCAGGTAGACACGGTGGTGTCCCGTCCCGTTCCTCGCAGCCAGGTTGGGCATGCTCCCTGAATTGGAAGAGACCAGGTTGCCTGCTGATTTGTGCCTTTGCCTCTGCCGTTCTCTGGCTTTCGACGGGGAATCCTCTGCCAGGGTGGAGTAGTTGGGGTTCATCTGAGCGGGGTAGTAGTGCTCAGAGCTGGAATGGCTGGTGCAGGAAGAGCAGTCGTCCATGGGGTCAGAGCCGTTACTGCTACGAGTCCTTGGGGTGTAGAAATCGGGGCTCCCTGTCTCATTTTCTGAGCCGAGGAGCTTTCCTTGTGACTCCAAACTGGAGCTCCGGTGCCTAAAGTGCTGAGCTAAGCTGTGCAGTCTGGTTGGGCTGATGTCTACTGACCTGCAGGTACCAGGAAAAAAACCAGGCTGGTAAGTCAACAGAACACAGCACTGCCCATCCCTGCCTGCACACACAGGCAAAGGAATCTGAGGCAGTGAAAACCTGGATCCCTCCAGGACTGCGTAGGGCTGCTGTCTGCAATGCAATCTGCTTCCCTGCTGCAGGGTTTGGGGTGATTAGGTCCTATTCTTGTTCCTCTCCAGTTCCTTGGTGTGACATTCAGTCTGTAGCACCATGAGGGACATAAACCCTTACTCAGCCCCATTCCTCTATGGCTTGCCACCCTCGGAAAGGGCCAGTCTGAGGGGTGAAACCTGGGGCCTCGAGCCCTGGCTTTGCTGGTGCAGCTGCATGGCAGAGCTGTTTGGATCAGCACTGTCCCTGTGCTACCAGGTTCCCCTTGTGTCACCTCTGCAAATCCCAACACCTCAGGCCCCAAAGGTGGTGAGATTTCCTTGCAAGTGGCCCACGAATACCCTGTACAGGTACAATCCACTTGGTGGGAGACAGACAGACAGACAGACTGCCCGTACTTAGCCTAGAATGCCGTTTAAAAAATCACCTCTTGTCAAGCAGCTCGGTTTTACTGGGGCCCAGCCACAGGCACATGTAGGACTGTCAGAGGCAACCACCCCAAATCACAGTTCACAAGGCTTGATTCATGGCTGAGTCTGGGTGGTCTCTATTCAACCCGACTGTTAGAAGAGCTTCACCCATCCATTCAAGGAACGGGAACACATCCCCATGACAGATGGTCAAGGCCAGGGCATGCAGCTCATGAATGAGCCACAGACTGAGCAATGGTTGTTTCAGACACCCAAATGGCCCCTACCTGGTCAAGGTCACTTCTCAAGCCCTGTGCCAGGCTCATTTCTCACACAGCTTGGCTCCAGTACTTAGCAGACTTTGTACTCTTGAAAGGTACTCTCAGCCAATAACTTGTAACAAACTTAACCCGGGGTCTTAATGCCTTGTACTGTCTCTGCCTGAGGCTGATGTATTGGCACAACTCTTGATTTATGCTGAGCTAAATGAGGATGGTACTTCCCTTTAGGGTAGCACACCAGCTAGCACACAGCTCTGGCTCAGCTCTGCTCCCTGCAGTGTCCACAGAGTTTGCCACAAAAGCAAAAGAGCAATGAAGCTGAACAGTTTGTAGAAATCCTGCTGAAAATTGGAATCAAATTGGGCCACACACATCAAATCACTTCCCTTACACACTTCAGCTTTTTCCTCTGTCAACCCCGGGCTAATCCACTGCCACCTGGATCCCCAGGTGGATTGCTTTATACGGCCTCTCACTCTCCACATGACATCACACACATGCAAACATTTTATCCGTGAGACAAAATTAACACTACCCAACATTTTGCATCAGATAGGAAACAACATGTTCTCTCCAGCTGGATCCATGGAAGAATTTACTGCAGAATTCAGCAGTAGCAGCACCACATGTGTTTTAAAAGTGACTTGGGGTTTGTAGAGCCTATAAACAGCCCCTGAGATGAAAGGTCCCAGCAGAACAAAAGCTTGATCACTTTGAGGGAGGGATGAGGGGCAGGATCATGTTCATCTGAAGGGATTTCGGGATCTCAGTTCAGGAGAGATTCCCTACTGGCAACAGTATGTGAGCCTCTTATGTGAACAGGACTGGTTTGTGTCCTGTCCTGAACTGGGAATTAATTGATACCCTGGGGAAAGGATAAAGTAAGGAATATTTATTTCAGGGTATGCAAGAGAGACTGGAGCCAGGAAGACTTACCGTGTGGAGTGGACGTAGTGCGGACTGCGTACCCGTAGATCCGGCGTTGACGGCATGCTGGACTGGGAATTCCAGTGGGGAAGGCTCCGGATGGGGCTGTTCTGCAGAGAGCTGCTCCCTCCTGCCTCGGCACAGCTCCCAGTGCTGGGGAACCGCTTGTGACTGCTGCAGAGGAAACATCCACTTCAGCTCCCGTCAGGAATTTGGGGAAGTGACTCCCATGCATCTTTCCAGATCTCAGGCATGTGCCTGGGATCTTGTGGGTGTGAGTGGGAGTTGGGTCAGCTGCTGCTCTGAGCTGCATCCCAGAGCCTGTGCTTCTACAGCAGCCAGAGGTCAAGGCCAAGACCTGTCAAAGACCTCAGATGATCCACCATCCTTCCCATTTAAACGTTTTGTAGAATAGCACTGAGATACCACACAGCAATCGTGTGGCTGCAGCCTGTCTTTATGACCTGCATATTGGCCAAATCACCTAAAGTCTCACCTATTGGTAAGGGACCTATTTGTAAATTTTGAAAGGGCTCAGAGCCGTCCCTCCTGAGAGCAGAGAATGCCTCCGTGATGGAGCTTTGAGGTGTCTGGCTCACCTGGAATGGCTGTGCGAGGAGCGTTTCTTGACCTTCTCATAGGGCTCATCCAAGGATGACTCACTCCACATCTTGGGTTTGATGGGGGACTTGTCATAGTCGTTGCGGTGATAATGCATCTGGCGGAGCCCTTCCAGCGACTGCGGAGGAGGAGGCCGGTTGTGCAACGGCGGCCGGGGAGGGAGTCCTTTGTGTGGGGACTGGAGAGGGGAGATTGTGCTGGTGACCTGAGAATCCTCTGTGAAGAGAAGAAGGGAGAGAGATGATGGCTGTGTGACACTTCCAATGGAAGTACAACCTCGAGAGACACCATCACATTTCCAGAGCCTGTTTCCTTTCCCTGCTTCTCCTGCTTGTGTTCAGGAGCAAGCTGAAGACCTGACTTTCAGAAATGCACTGGTTGATGTTCCCATTTTGGGAGACAATGGCCAGCAAGAGTGTGTGATGCATTAAAGCAATTGAAACCTTAAAGGAAAATAAGGGGGCATTCTGGGACTGTCCTTTGAGATAATTCAGTAACCACAGCAATACTCATTGCTCCAGGCCGGATGTCTGACTACAAGGTGGAGTCAGGGGAAACCAAGTGATTTTGCTACTGGGATGTGTGAGTGGATTATTATACAGAACAGTTATTCCATTTTGAGTATCAATCAGGACTTCACACCTCCCTCCCTGCTCTCGACAACATACAGCAGCCAACATACCATCCTCGAGAACAAGGGCGTCTGAGAGGGAGCTGTCTTCACTGGCAATGTTTCCTTCTGAAAGGAAGAAAATATAAAGCTGCTCAGATGGTCCCAAGAATCGCAGTGACTGCGTGCTGAACTGCACCATGATCTTTGTCCACCGAGTCTTAGCCTTAAGCAGTCACCCACATCTTCCTCCTCACAGAATTCCTATAAACAACTGACTCAGCCCAATCTCAGTCTGGGAGGCAGAGCTGCAGCCAGGACTCTCAGTAGCAGGCTGCCTTTCAAGGAGCTGCTAACCCTTTTCAATTAATGGGGATTAAGACTGAGTCACAACAGAGAGCTAAGATCCCCAGAGGATGCAAAATGGCATGGTGCCATTATGAGATTTAAATCTCGGGCCTTAAGGACTCTGGGTTTGATATCCACCTTCTTAAAATGATTATCCTGTTGCTAACTAAAGGCTCACACTAAGTACCAGTTCTGTGGAACTCAGGGAAAGGCTTTCTGAGCATCCTCTGCAGCAGCATGAGAAGCTCTCAGGTCCTTGGTGTGAAGAGGTTTGAGCTGCCTCCCCCATCCCATGTCCTCATGGCTCTCTGTTATCCCTGACTGCAGTGCAATTTGGTACCCAGGTCACAAATACAGCAGCTCTAATCTCAGTTCCTGCCACAAAGGCACAGAGAAAAGCTTTGCAAGTTAAAGGGAAAGGGCAAAATCCACAAGGGAGAAAGAACCACAGCAGAAAGTTAATGGATTTCATGAAAAACCAATCAACAACCTAGTAAACCATAAAGTGCCCTGAGAGTTACATTGTAAAAGAAAAAAAGAAAAAGAAAAAGAAAAGAAGTATTTGAACACAGCAGTGACACTGCTCCCACTTTGATTTCACAGATGCCTTTCAGCTAGAGAGCTCACCCCAATCTGCTAACATTAATTACATTTGTGCAGAACCGCTCCAGAGGAGATGTTAACAGAGCGATTTTATAGGTGAACAAAGGAGCCACATTCTGCTCTCCTGACACGTTTGTCACCCACGGTGCGACCCTGCTCCTTGTGCCATGACCCAGCACATCCCTAACGCATGGCACATACCCCAGCACCCCTCTGACAGCACCCCTGGAACCCTCCAGACAGGAGAGGGAGCAGGAGGGAGGGGAAATCTGTGCCTCAGGGCAAGAATTTTGCTCCCCGTGCTCTGCAGACCCCCCGTGATGCCGTGGGTGCCAAGTCCCACTTACCATCTATGATCAGAGAGGCCCTCTGGGTTGGCTTCTTTCCTGATTTGATGCGATACTCGTTGATGGCATTCTCGATCTCCTGCAGCTTCTTCAGTGCATTCAGATAGGATGTCTTCCTCTGCTTCTTCAGCTTCTTGCTGACGTTTGGGTCGCTCGCCAGGCGCCGGGCAGCCTCCGTGATCTGGGACTGAATGGCAAATTCCCTTTCCAGTCGCTCCAGTTCTGCCTCCTGGGAGAAAGGCAAGTGGATTCTGGTTACCACCAAACTCTTCCAGCCCATCTATGGGGAAGCTCTCCTGAACCTGACCAGTGGCCTCCAATCAAGGCTCTCCATCAGCAAAGCATACACAACCATGCTGCTCCTCTCATCTCAGGGCCTCCCTGAGCACAACGTCACCTGCTCACACGAGTGCCTGGAAGCACAGCTGGGGGAAGGGATGACCCATTCAAAGAGGACATGTGTGCTCCAGCCCTAAAGCCTGCTGTGCTGTTTGGCTTTTCATGCAGTTCAATATGGCCAAGTTCAACTGTGCTCTCCTGCTGACACATTCATGTGTTTACACCCATCTGTGGGCAACACCTGCCTTCCACCTGCTCCTTCCCCCTATCTCCTATCTCCATATTTGAGTCCTGTTTGATATCAGTGCTGCATATTGATCCCAAGCTACAGCTTTAAACTTCTTGACAGGTTTGCTTGGCACTCACCAAACACTTTGGGGTAGAAAGGGCAAAGATGGGCTAACTCATCCCCAGTATATGGCTGTCAAAATCCAGAGGTGAGTAGGAGCTGATGTAATTATGGGCTGCTGCAGCTGATTGCACCAGAAAATTGTCTCCTCACGTTACAAGCCAGGAGCCAGAGCCAGCAGTGTGTAACAGCAAGCTCTCTGTATGCCAAAAAGAACCAGTGCCTTCAAAGTTAGTCCTTGCAGGGTCTCAGATGAGTTTTTAAATGCAAATAGGTGTACCCTGGAAGCTACCTACAACTTTTGGTTATCCTCCAAAGTCAAGGGACTTAGGCCAATTTATGCCAATGCATAAGCTGATATTGAGCTTCCCAGTCTGCACTGGGACTCCAAGCTGTGAGTTTCAAAGGTACCTGCTAATCTGAAATGGATCTGGCTCCCTTCCCCAGCTGGATGGAGTAAGTCTGCTAGAAAGGGGAACACAGTACATTGCAAATTAGGGAAAAAAATGACAATCTTTTTTGCTTTTAATGAACGGTGGGACAGCCTCATATTCATGGAGCTCCCCATTACGCAAATTCAAATCCTCTCTTTGTTTAGCAGCAGCATGTGCTGTATGAGCTGATGCTGTGGGATTTATTCAGATTGAAGACATTCTCTGAAGTTTTTATTCCGGGCTTCTGGCTTAAAAAAAAAAAATCCCTTTGCTATCAGTAATGAGTCAGCATTGCCTTAAAACTATAATTATCATTTCCCTCACTTCACTGAAGACTGAACCCACCCCCTGTCTTTTTAACAGATCCCTTTTTGCTTTGAAGAGTTTATAAGGTCTATCAGTGCCAGACTTATTAAAAGTGAACTTAACACCATGAAGTTTTAAGGCCTGAAACCTGATTCATCATCTTCTGGTAAAATCCTTCCCACAGTCAGGAATTACAGGCCAGGTAAAGGTGATTACCAAGAAAAACAACAGGACCCTTCCCTGCAAGTCTTGCACTGACAAAGGTCTTGCTGAAGGTACGGTGAGTTTGATGTGAGCTGTCATTTCAGACCTTCACAGATTCAGTTCTAAATCATTCAGTATATCATAGGAAAAACATATTAATTTTCCTCATGGCCATAATTGTCTATTTTCTTCCAGTGAGGCCCCTATAAATAAAGCCTTAGGAAATGAGAGTTATCATCTGGCTTCAGATGGAAGTGCCTTGCTTCAGGTCCTTGTCACAGTTGGTAATTTCAGTCCTGGATTTACGTGGCTGAGGGAATATTTCATCTTTTGCTTTAAATTGATTTTCCAGTGTTTGCACTTGCTGAAAAACACATGAAAATCATCACTGGCCTCTCTAAATGCTCTCAAACTGGCAGTCAAACACAGTTCAACATCATTCTTCGAGAACAGAAATTTATGGTTTTCAACATAGTCCTAAAGTTTGACAGATGAGAAAGGAGATAGAGAAGAGCTGAGTCAGCATGTTTGGATTGCTGGTGCCAAAAGGCAGAGTGCCTGCAATGGGGAGGAGCTGCTTTACCTTCCTGCTCTCACCACCTAACCCTGCCACTGGAGTAAGGAGATTCCTCACCTGCTGGCCCCAAAAGCTGCCTTCCAGCAATAAGACCTGGGGAAGCTGGAGATCAGGTTATAACTGAGCAGCCAACAGACTGCAGGGGTTTTAGGAGTAATTCAGCTAAGCCATGCCTCCCTTTGAAAAGCTTAATTAAATGTGCTAGTTCATGAATATTTGACTTCGCTGGAATTCCTCTCCCAGGCTCCATTGAGGACAAACCTAAAGAGCTCCAGCTGTTTATTTTTTCAGCAGAAGGAAAACGCCAACAAAACGACAAACAGTTAATTCCCTGGCTGAGCCGAGCCTTAAACCACACAGTCACACCAGCTTCAGTCCCTCCTCCTACGAAAATAAAAAGGAAACTCAAGACTGGGATACACACAAGTGCCTTGCAAATGCGTCTCCGCAGACAATGGCTGTTCTGTGAATCCGGTCCCGCCTTACAGCTGCTGCAGGCCTGTTTTCACAGCCACGGTTCAGGGCACTGACCCAGCACACTGTGGGAGCAAGGGAAGGGAACAAACACTCCCTGGCAAACTTAGAAAAATGTAACTCCAGCTCCCCATAGGTAGGGATGAAGGCTCTTTTGTTTAAGGACTGGGGAGCAAAACGCTTTTATCTTGCTATGGCAGGGCTAAGATGGATAATGGTGATGCTTTTCTCCCTGGTTAGCAATCCTGAATTTGGATTGCTACTGAAGTGGAAAGCAAGTGGCTGTTTGCAATAACACAGGCAAAAGCAGGGCTCATATGGCTCAGGGAGGCTCCTGGTGTGCTCCCTGCTCACACAAATCACTGCACTTGGTCATCAGAGCACCTGGACTGCTATGGTCCAGTTGGTCACCCAGGCTATTTCTGTTACCTCTAGCAAAGGCAGGGTGAACCTCGAGGGTTTCACCTTTATTCTGAGTCTGAAAGAAAGCCATCAACTCTCTTGCTGCTTCCCCATTCTGATGAATATAAAATAAAAGGCCAATTACAGTAATTTATAGCAAAAATGACCATAGGTACTGATGGCTCTTGTGTGATGCACAGTGGACATCTTAGAGACCTAATGTAGGGACATGGGTCTGGAAGGGAAGGGCACAGCCTCACCTCTCCTTTAGGCAGGATTTTCTGCTCATCCAGTTTAAAGGCAGTTCCTATTCTTCTCCTCACAATAGGTGGCTCCTCCCCAGGATCCAGGGGGTATTCTCGTGGCAGCTTTCCTGTGAGCTCCTGTAAGCAGAAAATGCTGTTAGTGCTCTGGGAAATCCTGCAGCAGAGCAATGCACAACACTGCTCTTGTATGACCCTAAAATGACAGGCATTCATTAACAATATATCCAGTTCAGCCAGCTGATAACCACACAGGAGAGTGCCCAGCCCTGCAAACTCAGAACCTGCCACTGAGGGTGGGAACCTTTTCTTTAACCTGTGCATGAATACAGACCTTCATGGCCTGCCCTGGGCAGGTCTGTAAGTGGTGCCCATCCCTGGGGCGTCAGGGCCTGAGGCTGAGCTGGCTGCAGCACACAAAGCCTTCATCTCTGCTGCAGGGTAAGCAGGAACCAAAAGCTCCTATCTGCTGAGCTACTTCTGAGGGAGTGAGCAGATCAGAGAGCCTTCCTGCAGGATGCAGGTCTGCTGAGTCAGAAAGCCACACTGGTAACAGCTGTGCAGGTTATGACCTGCACAGAAAAACATTCCCACCTGATTCATGATGTGTCTGAGAGGAATGCAGTGAAAACGGCTACTAAAAGCAGTGCCTGGTACCTCATTACCTGTCTGATAACACTTCATGTATCAGAGCCCCTTCCAAACCCCAGTGATGTCAAGGGCAGCTTTGGAGCAATTATTAGCTGATGCTCTGTCAGACTGATGGGGTTTTTTGCAAAAACTTGTTCAAAATCTGAAGCAAACCCCACAGAACTGAGGAATATCTGGAACACAGGAAGCAGCGACTGACACTACTGATATAAATGCTGTAGGTTTTTTCTCCTGGACTACACAATACAGCCACACAGATCCGAACTGAAGGCATTCAAATGGCTACAGAAATAGGCAGGAGCCTGACTACCAGCACAGCCCGACTCCTCGTACTCAAAAGTCTCCCCATGGAGGACAAAAGGCTTTTGTGTTCCTTAGCATCAGCCTTGAGAGGATCCAGCTGGCAGAGTAACCTAAATCATCTGAATCCCAAAGAACAGCAGCTGACCTCAATGTGCATGTGGGTGCACAGCCCCAGTCCTTGCCTGCCCTGGCCTTTCCCCGGCTCCCTAATGGGGTTTTTCTTTCTACTCTTTTCAGGTCATCAGGAAACAAGGACCTGGCCTTTTCAAAAATTCCCTTTAAGCAATTCCCAGCAAAATGGGTTTGCAGCACTGCTCTGTGTCGATGTGCTCAGCCTCGTATTGCAGGAGGCACTGCTGCAATGTCTCAGAATCCCATTCTGCATCACCCCTCCAGCCCTGCGGGGTTACTTCAGCTTTTCTTTCAAAATGTGTTCCTTCTACTGAGGTTTGGCTCTAAGCACTGTACCAAGTCACATATTCCTGTATTCTATCCCGAGGGTAACAGAGATACTTTCTTTGTAACTCCTAAGGTAATATGAAGGAGGGCAGCGGTGAAAGAGTTAATATCTTCTGTAGAATGCCCAAGATCAGAGCAGGACAAAATTAATGTGGGCTACCACGCTGCCTCCATAAGCTAAAAAGTATTCACAGGCATGGTTGTGAAATGTAATCTAAATTAATAAGTAACTGGAGTAGGGATGGCCCGAAGTAACCTGATGCCAGTGTTATGAATGGCTCTGGCCATGCTTATTTGATTATGCCCCTACTTTTAACCCTTTTTTATCTCCTGGTTTGCTGCCTTCTCCCTCTGTTTTGGCCATTCCCATGCCAAAGCAGAAAGGATGAAGGGCAGCCTGAGAGGAAATACTTTCAACTACTGGCTGCTGATGGATGAGCTGTAGGATTGCAAGACGGGGTCAGATTCCAAGTGTCCATAAACTACCTACGGAAAGCATGAACACTTTCTACCAGCTCTTAAGGTGCTGACAGATGGGCTCTGGCCAGCCTTGCTGCAGCACATTAAGGAGATATTGCTCCTTATCCCCAGCTCCATGCCTCAGTGGGGCTTTTGCCTGCATCCCAGTTGCCTGTGGAATGTCTGAGGCTGCACTGAAGACAGGACCGGGGTTAAAGGGAAGGTACTGGGCTGTGAGCTCCTGCAACTGTGGCTTAGGCACATCTTCCCCTGCATGTGGTGCTGCTGCAAGGATTAGTCACTGGCTGTCAGGGAGTGTTAGCTTAGGGTAGTAAATTCCTCAGGGAGAAGTAGAGCCCTCCAGACCCTGACCGTCAGCTCCTGAAGAGCTGTGACTGCTTCCTGCAGATGATCTCAGCTCAGTGGACTTACAGACTGGATCTGGTCCTGCAACCTTTATCAGCACAAGTTGTTTGCTGAGGTCAACCAGGGCTTTCCAGATGGGAAAGGATTGCTCATGTGGAGTAAAGGGTGTGAACTGGGGTAGCAGAGACTTCCTCTGACATTCTTGGTTGAGAGGTATTTTCCACAACTTACTCTTTTTGGCATTAAAACTATAGACTAATTGAAACAAAGTGCAGTGGGAGCTGAATCAGTGACCTTTTTTCCCCATTTTTGTCAAAGGCGAGATACACATAAAATATTAAGCAAGAACCGAAAGATCTGCGTGCCACTGTCTGCAGCCAGCTTCCTGTTGTGTTACACATCACGATTTGTTGTTAAATTCAGATACTCAGCCCTGGTAAACATAGGAAGATTGCTGAATGACCCAAGAGTACTCTGCTGCTAATCTACACACACAGCTGCAGCAGGGTTGTGATTTCCCTAAACATTAAATGGATCTCTGAATGGCCTCCTGTGTACTCCAAAAATGAACTGGCAAGTGAGTCGGAAGGTTATGAGTTCCTGAGATGTCCCGCATGTCCTGGGATGACTACAGTGGTTCCTCTGCAAGGTCTGCCACCACACTGCCAGAGCCTATTGGATAAAGGGAATCTACAGGGAGCAGATGAGACCCTGTGTGCTGTATGAAGGACTGTGCTTGGAGAAGCAAAGCATGTAAAGTCAGGCCTGCTCCAAAAAGAAGGTGTGTCAGCCTGGGTTGGTTTTTTTATTCACAAATGGAGTCAAAAGCATTTGAGAAGTGATGACCAGTACATAAGATGTCCTTCCTAACCTGCCATTTAGGTAGCAGCATATTCCCACCAAAGTCAATAAGAAGCCTGGCTGAACAATTTCAAACAGCAGACATGGATACTGAGCACCCTCCTAGCCCCAGGCCAACTGGGTACCCAGCTGACGTGGGGTCCCCTTCTCTGAGGGGGAAAATGTCCCGGACATTGCAATCTGGAGTTGAAACAACTGGACTTCCCTGAGGTGACTGTGGAAGGCATCTCTTCTCCTGACCCCACGCCACCTCCAAACAAGGAGCATGCTATAACAATGCAAACAACAAAGTGTTACAGGTTATAAAATGTCCATTGCTTACCGCTTCACGCAGGCACAGTTTCTTCAGCTCTTCCAAGCGTTGGCGCAGTGTCTCTTCCAAAGCTTCTTGCCTGGATTTCAGTGCAGCCAGCATGTCTTTCTTGGCAGACTGAGAACTGTCTGACTCTTGGGAACCTGTCAATAAACAATGATTTCACTAGGCCAGCTGACAACAGAACACACATCTGGAGCGCTTGTAATTTTACCAAAGCCTGGATGCAGTCCTTCCAAAAAGAAATTGGACTACGACATGAAGCAGGTGTTCCCCAGTCATGATTGTTTACAGCAAATCCTTAATGTTTAAGTGAACAGTCAGAGATTGGACAGTGGAGCACATTAAGACATTTGCAATCATTATCCGGAAAAATAAAAGCATCAAAATTATTCATCTAAAGATCCTAGAACAAAAACACGTACAATTCCCATGAAAGTTCCCAATGGCAAGTAACAGTACAGTTTACAAAGCCCTGGAGATGCATTTTTGGGAAATTAAGCCTAAGAGAAGCCATTTGACAATACAGCCTACTTCTTAAGAACTGCAATTATCCTAGTAGCAAACATGTAATTCAATCCACTTATGGGGCCTGTTCTATGAAAAACTGTAATGGAACAAAATTACCTAGCAAGATTCCTGTAAAACAAACTGAAACAACAACATCCCCTTCTGGGATAGTAGCTGTTTCTTGTGAAGACGTAGGTCGAGAGATTTAAACTGCGTGTCCAAATGGTTTGACTTTTCAAGTGGCAACTACCCAGAAACTTCCATGACGTAAGTCCATGCATTGAGTCAGACTGTTGCTCAGATGTTGTGACATTTCTAATTTCAGCTCTTTGAGGGAACTTATTGATGAAGTAACTTTATCCTTTCTCCCCACATCCAGCAAAGGATGGAGATTCTCCTTACCCCTCCTTTGGCTGCTACGTATTAATATAGGGGTTGGACTAAATGATCTTTGAAGGTCCCTTCCAACCCAAGGGACCAACCCAAACTGGGAAGGAAGTTGTACCATTGCTCCCTTTGCAGGCATGATACATGACCCACACTCTTGGACTGGCAGTGGGATCCTCAGCCTACCTAAAACAGCACTGGACACCTATGTGAAGGCAGCTGGATTGTTCTTGGTGCTTTGTAGACACTTCTTGTGTAATGCTGTAGGGTTATGCCTGCAGAAAAGCCTTTGACCTGGCAGTGCTTTCAAAGGGATTCCTCCTAGTCCTCAGTGGACTCAGCACGGGCTGTTCCAGGGTGACTCTGGTGGGCTCTCCTACCCCTCTCGAGCAACGAAGCAGAGAAAGTAGACCTTTATTATCTGCAGGAATCAGATACAACGGGATGCTACATGAAATTTTCTGTGCACCTGTCAGGTGGGGGTGAGAGGGGCTCCTAGATACATTTGCAGCTTGGCTGCCAAGCATTCAGTGAAAACACTCAGCCCAAGGAGGTTGGAAAAGCTGTTATTTCACAGAGCTTTGGAAGGAATCTGGGAACAATTCTTTGTTTTGGCAGCAAAACAGTGAAATTTGTGCTTTTAGCTTCATCTTTCATTGCTACTATTCCAGCAGACCATTAAAGCTAAACTGAAAGAGGATTGAGGCAAAAAATGCCACAAAACACTTCTGCATTGGCCCAGGGGGAGCAGAGAATCTCACAGTCTTTCCCACCAATATTTTCTGCAGTTTTCATGTAGGAAGACAGCTGGCACTTACTCTATGAAACACCACCCTGCTTTGTTACATCTTTTACTGGGCTGTCCTGAGGTGGGGGCAATGGAAAAGGTCTCTCTAAAGGTCAGCCAGGTTGAGCAATATCAGACAAATGAGGAGACCCTCATGGTAAGATGCTTGTTTAGTTGCTGTAGTCATCCTTGTTTGAGTTGGGTTTGCCCTCATAGAGCAATAACACTCAATTCTGCACACACGTCTGTGCTGCAAGAACTTGATGGGATCTTCCAGCAGAGCCCTGTATTTGCACTGGCAGGGAAAGCCCTCTCCAGCATTTAGTAATTCTTAATAGTAACCCTGGTGAGCAGTTACTAGCAAAACTGAACTGCTGAATTTCTTCACGGACTTGTCAACAAACTGCAGAGTCCTGGTAAAAAGTTGCTCATGATTCCACCAGATGTTTCAAACCTTTTTTTTTCTTTTATGACAACTTTAATGACCTACGTTTTCCTTTCAAGTCCTCTTCCCCTTTCCTTCCTCTCTCTGCTCCACACCTCCACGCCAGCCTTGAATTTATTTTTAAAAGCTATTCGTTTTTGCACTGTGGGTTGCCACAGCAGCTACATACAAACATTTAAAAGCATATGAAGAGCCTAAAGCCTGGCCAGGCGCCTGTGCTGCTTTGGGGTATGCCGACAAGAAGGAAACGAGCGGCTGCTGGCTGAGCTGGTACAGACCCAAGTCAAGCACAGACAGTTCACAGCATCTGCTCCAGCTGTGCTTACCCTGTGTGAGAACCACACTGGTCTCACCCTGATGCCATCGGTGGCAGTGCCCACTGAGTGCACATTTTGCCATCTTTGTCACCCCTCCCAGAAAGCAAAGGAACGGGGGGGAGATCTGGAAGTGCGCTGTCGCATCCTGAGTGAAGCAGTGGGGTTACTGCTGAAACCAAGGTCAACCACTCCTTGGCACTACTGTTTGTTTGTTTTATTTAAAAGCTGAACTATATTGGGGTGTATTATTAGATTTTTATGGGTTGGATTCTCTGCTTGTTCTCACAGGTAAAAAGCAAATGGAAACTTGATCAGCCAAGAGAATTACAGTCATGTGCAGAGAACAGTGCTCTGTATTGCTGGGTGCCTACAGCTTCCATTAGAGGCTCTTTATTTATAAAAATGTATTAATTCAGCCTTGAGCAAGGCTGTGACCCCAGACCCACTTCTAAACCCAGCGACAATTGACCCAAAAATGTCAGGACAAATCAGATAACCATAAAAACAACCAAAGAAATAACTAAAGACCAGCACAAACCAAATCAATGAAGCAGATACTACCTCAAATCAGTCTTATTAAATATGATGCTCACTGAGTTACGGATGCCCAGTGCCTTCTGAAGGGCATCATCAACAGAGAAAAATCAGTCCTGAAAGATCAGTCCTAACACAAGACTCCTGCTGCAAACAGAAATGGTTGACTGGGAGGCTTTCTCAGGTATTCTATCTCCCACAATTGTTTAACACACTAAATAGGAGAAATGTTGCTGAAATAGGTAATTTTCTTGGACAACATTTGAACCTTTCTGTGAAAGTTATTATTCAGCCTCCTTCTCATTTGCTGTGCAAAGATTTACCAAACTCTGCATTTTAACACACATTTGATGTCCTTGAAAGGGGTATGAAAACACACTAGGTAGTAAGTGCAGGGCCTTCTCTTTGGTGGGCACCAGGAACCTGCTCAGCAAGGGGCTGTTTTTATGTGTATGTGCCCTTTCTTCCTTAGCATACAGGATGGAACACAAGTCTTGGTGACCTAAATGTTTATTTAATACCCTACTAGTTTGTGGAAACACCACTCATCACCTGCCACCCATTTGGCCTCTCTGGGCAATTTCTCCATCCACTGACATTCAGAAGAACATGAACTGTGAAACAGGGGGAAACATGGTCCTCCCTATCCAACTCACTTCTCCACCAGAATTCATGGCTGAACCTTATCAGTGCTAACAGGCTGGTGTCTGATTGCTCCAACACTGGTGAGGTCAGGACAGTCTTGATGATGTTGATGGGGACATCCAGCAAGTGATTCAAAGGATCTGACTTGAGTGCTGTGCTGTGCAGGTCTGCTGGGGTCCTGGCTACCGGATGTTGGCTCCAAGACAAGCTTTGATTTAAAGCTTGTCAAAGGGATGAGACCAGCAATACAAGCCACCACTTTGCAGAAGAAAGCCCTACCAGTGACTCATTGTTTGTCCCTATTTCCTCCACCTGTTGTAGCAGAGTGGAGTCAGCTTGGAAAAGGGATAAATGAGAAGGTTGAAAACAAGCACGGAGGACAGAGGGGATGTGAAGAGCAGAGGGAGCCAAGTCTTGGTGGTAGTAACTGTGAGGGGAGAGGAGATGCAACAAAGTGGCCGAGGAGCAGCAAGGCAAAAGCATTCAGGCATCTCTTCTCTTTCTCATTCTGGGAGTCTCCTGTTTCAGGAAAAACACATCTAAATATGGCAAACCCTCCATGCTACATCCAGCTGCTGGCTCTGGCTCACTGGCATTTGTCTGAGGTCCCCGTGGAAGGCTGTTCCCTGAGCAGGGAGGGAAGTTCCCCCCACGCCTGCTCCGTGCCAGAGCTCAGGCTGACTCACCGTGCCAGGATGTCAGTGCACAACAGCCCACAGCCTCAGACGGCCGCTATCTGCTGTTCTCCTGTCTCTGCCCGACACGTAGGATATCCTCCGCTCGCGGGAGCCCAGCTGGAGCTGCTCCACACAGGATGCACTCAGATATCCTGTGGGTGACTCGTCTTTGCGAGCCCCTGTGCTCACGGGCTGTGATGGAGACCATGTGGGTGCTGTTTGTCCACTCCGACACCCGCTGGGGCGGTCCAGCTGGGATACGGCCTCGCCGGATGGAGCGGTGGGGCCTGGGAAGGCTGGCTGGGCTCTGTCATGGGATTTTCAAACGTAAACAGGCCCCTGCACAGGAAACCTCCACTGCTGCTGAAGGAATGGGGCTCAGGGACCGGAGGCTCCTTGAATGTGTCTGCAGAGCTAAAGCAGAGGTGCTCCTCTGTGGTGTCTCCTCTGCCCACGGAGATGAAGAAGGTGGTCTGGAGTTCAGTCCAACAATAACCCAGTGGTTACAGGACTCCTCACTAGCTCAGAGCCCTGCAGAACTCTTATGGCACAAACTGCTCCATAGGAAAAATCCACCTTAGACCTAACTTCATTTTGTTCTGCTGGCTTTGATTAGGGTTTCTTCCAGTGTAAAAGCTTTCAGTCACAGACAAATCAAAGTTGTCCAGGGATGGCCTCTAGATCCTGAGCAGAAGATCCCTCGGCTAAATCACAGCAGCCCACTGTTCTAAGGAGGCCACTTCAGATCCAAAATGAGGACAAAAGTTACAAATTCAGTTTGTCAGAAATTAACTTGTGAGCATCAGGTATCAAAATTACAACTCTGCAGTGGACAGGCTGAGATCAAGGACCTGGGAAACATGGAGAAGTGGAGGCTTTGGCCCTGAATTGCTGTGATCATGAGAAAGCTACTCCCCAGTGTAAGATTCCATCTCCCCTTGGCTGTGTCTTCAGACTGTAAGTGACGTGGGGCAGGATCTTTGCCAGACAGTGTGACAGCTGGAAGCAACAATAAACTTTTCCTTGCAGACTTGCTGCAAATCCAGGGGAGACATGCCAGTTTTGGCATGTTCCTCGTGGTGCTGACAGCCCCTCCAGTGAGGACGAGTGAGATGGAGGGAGGAAATGACTACAAGTAACTTTCAGGAAAAAAAAGGACTGAAAACAGTAGGGAAGTGGGGGCACACAGAGGCTCAGTCCTGCCCTTGTGATTTCGAGTCACTTGAGGTATTTATAGCCTGGAAATCTACTGTGGCCACTTAATCATTTGCACTTATTCTCTCCACTGTGCAGGCTGTACTGCGATAACCCATCATTGTTGTGGTTGTGCGCCGATAATCTTTGGCACAATGGGAGGAAACACAAAGGCTGGGACAGAGCCAGTGACTGTGCCCAGTGGGACAGGCAGTGAATGCCCCCTCCTGTCCAGTGGGACAGGGATGAGACACCTCTGCCAGTCAGGCTCGAGGGAAGGGGCTCTTGGAGCAGAGGGGTCTGAGTGACTGCGTGGAAGCAATCCAAGGTTTCCAATTCCCTGGTATCTGTCCTCTTCCAGATGTCTTCTCTCAACACTTCCTTCCAGCTGCTTGTAGGTTCTGGAAGACACACAGCAGCAGCAAACCCCACAGCTCTCCTTACCATTTTGTGGAAAGCTCTGTCCTCAGTGCTGCTAGGACATAAAAGGCAGCTCTGAAGACAGGAACCCAAGGGGAGCATTGGTGCTTGCCTGGCACACCAGCAGCACCTCGACAGAAACAGGGGTTCACACAGTCCTACTCAGGCATCCAGGCAGAGAGATCCATTCACCAAGGATTGAAGAAATGACTCACCTGGTCAATGAATTTTGCATGGGCCTAGTCACTACTGCAGTTCTGCTGAGTCTACAAATCCTGTGCTCAACTAGAAAGGATTTGAGGAAGGAGCACAAAAATATAGAAATAAAAGCATGGGCAGCTCCAAGTTTGGAATTTCCAACCACATAACCCTGCTAGGTGCTGGCCCTACAGCAGGTTTCCTGGGCCTGATTTTCTGCTGGTTTTCACCTGGCTGCTGCTCTCCCCAGGTGTAAGAGCAGAAGCAGACCCTCATGTTTTTTTCCAGGAACACAAAAAGACAGTGTATGAACATGGAAACAGGATTACTACCAAGTAGCTCTCACAAACTTGGGAATGGTGCCCAGGAGGCTGGGATCTTGGATAGACCTTAAGAACTTTCTTGGGGTACTTAACGTTATTTACTTTCCAGCAGGAGAGCTGGAAAAAATGCCAAACAAACAAAGAGTTCCAACAACCCGACACCAGTCTGGGAGCTGCTGAGCTACTGCAACTCCCTAAGCGATGGGAGGCACAGACAGTGGATTGTATACTTTGACAGGAAGACCTCAGGAGCAGAAAGGCAACTCTGTTTGCAGGCAAAGCAAGGAATTGCACAGCAGGCAGCTCTGGAGCTCTGTAAGTATTGCACATTTTAACCCCTTGCTGAACATTTTCCAAGCAGGAAAGTGCAGCTTGTAAGAGACATGAAGGATACAGTGATAAAAAGCTTATTTTACTACACCAGTGTGGGCTCAATTTTAAAGCATTTGCATTCTTACATGGGCTCTCCCCTTGTCCAAGCATGAGAAGGTTTTTCTCTGCTGTTATACATCTCAACACATTTGGTTTTGATAACTTGATGTGACGTTTAACAGAAGGTTAATTGACTGAAACTCTTAATTATAGTGATACCAGCAACCTTGCTCTCCTGAATACCTTCTCACCTAAGCAGCTTCAAGCTCTTTGCAAACCAGCAACCCCTGTTTTGTGCCTGCAGTGACATTTATCACTGTTTTACACACAGCTTGCCCAGTTCAGACTGACAGCAGAGGATCAAAGAGATACAGACAACCTCCTAAGTACCCTTCTCCGGTCTTTCTATCCTCGTGCTCTAGCTCTCCTCTCTATCACCTTCCCCTGGGTTTCTTTAACAGTTTCTTCTTCACACAGGAAGGTGCTCTAAGCTACAAAAAGAAACCTCTACCTGCCACTGGTTCGGTAGAGAGTGCTAGGGAATAGCTCTGTTGGGCCTGGGACACCAGCCAAAGTCCAGCAACAGAGAGGCAAAGCAGATGTGCACTCTGTGAAGAAGATACACTGCCTCAACACCGCTGAGGGACACCACCAGTTCCCAGCCTCAGCTTCCCTTGTGAGCTGCACTGGCTCACTGCTTCCTCACTGCTGGCTGGGCACTCCTTCACAAACCCATCTGCCTCGGGATGACCTGGGAGCCAAGAGATGGTCAGGGTAGAAACTGTGAAGAGACACCAGGTTTCAGCTGGAAATAGAGAGGTTGGAGATGACATCCTGGAGGAAACAAGTGGTGGTAAAGAGAGAAGGGGAGGCTGCTGCCTGTGCTGTTTGTGGAACAACATGCTGAGAGACAGACTGACACCTGGACATAAAGAAAGGCTGAAGGGAAGTGACTTTCATTTCTGCAGCGCAGCTTCTGGCTGCTCCCCATTACACCATGACCGTGGCCCTTCCCACCATATTCCCTCTAGTTACAGGATAAAAGACCTACCTGATGACAGAAGACTCCCGCTGCTGCCGCTGATAATTTTGCCTTTACTCCCCATGTTTGCCAGCTTCGAGGTCTTGAGCGTTCCAGTTTCGGTCAGGTCAATCGCAATCTCACTCAGGCTCCTTGCAGCATGAATCTTGGACTGGAGGTGGACACAGGAGTTAGTAATGATCTAACACTTCTCTAAAGCTCACAGAAGGAAAAAGACCTTTCGCTGTGGCAGGAAACAGACCTCCACAGCAAACTTGGATTATTTTACAAGAATAGAAGCAATCTGGCACAGATTGCTGCACTTTTTACATTCTTTAGTGGGTACAATTCTGGCATTGCTTCCTGTTGTTTGGGTTTTTCTCTGCTTTGCTATGCACATTTTTCCCTCTTAAACAAAAGATGTATGGAGTCACTGTTTTACCACATACAATAAGAAACCTTCAGAAATGCCTGCATAATAACCTGAAAAGCTCAAAGGCTAAAGAGCATCTCTAGCATCTAAAGGAAGCCAGGAGGGGCCTTTAAAAATCTGCAATGAGCTTTGGACCAAGACACAGTGAGGACATGGCTTAAAAGGGCTGTCATGAGAAGCTAGAAGAAAATACTAGCAGGAAAACACATTCAGGTTTTGTTGTCCAGACTAACAAGCTGCATTCAATGCCCCTGTTGTGAGGGACCTCTTCAAAGTATTAACATTACTCCAGTAAGAAACAACAGCCAGCCACCTCAGTAACTGGTCACACTAGGGCAGGGAGTTACCCATTGTTCACCACGAAATGTCAACAAGATAGTTGTAGTTTGTAATTACAAAAAAGTAAACATGCATAGTGTGTAAACCTATAAAACAGAACAGAACAGAACAGAACAGAATAGAATAGAATAGAATAGAATAGAATAGAATAGAATAGAATAGAATAATTTCAGCTGGGAGGGACCTCCAGCTATTATCTAGTCCTCCTCCTGTCTTAGGAGGGAATGAGTGGACTTCCTAAGATGTCACTCTTTTTCCATTGGCTATGGAAGGATTTGAGACAAGACGATGCCTGAAAAGTTGAGATAACTCCAGAACTTTCTCTTTGTTGAGCAGTAAGCTCAGATGTGGTCATGTCTCCAGAACCAACAAAGGAAGAAAATGTTCAGGGCAAGGGGGTCAGCAGCCCTGAGCACTGAAATGAGCACGGCAACTGCTTCCAGGGTTGGGCTCACTCAATCCTTCCTAGTGGCTGCCTTGCCCCTGCCATGCAAACCCCACTGTCACTAACTCACCAGCCACCTCCAGCCCATTCTCCTGACAGCCTCTAGCAGGTGCTTAAAATGAACAAGAGGATCAAGAACATTGATCAAAGTTGCTGAGGATGGCCCTTCCAGCACTACTGGGAAGAAGAACCCGACATACAAAGGTCTTGGGTGGCCACAAGAATTTTTCAGTCCTTTTTTTGACCAATACAGCCTTAGGATCAACTTAAAATAGCAACTGCCACATCAGAACAACCCTCTCTAGACCTCTATCTCATTTCTGACTTGAATTATCTCCAAGAACTTAAAAAGTAAGGAAACTTTTCATTGTGGAATTATCTGTCCACATGGAAAATTTCCTCCTGCCTCTTCTGAACTAATATTTATGTTCTGAGCTCTCTTTTATGTACTGGTTGTTGAAGTCACTTCAGGTAACAAACCACCACGTTAACAAGGAGGGAACTGACAACCAGGGAGAAGCTTGCTGTCTGTACCAAGGCACACAAAGTAACTGCTATTTATCTCCAAACCTGGAAATCTGCTTCTTGCTGCCGACCCTCATGTGAACCCCTCAGTCACGGATGGAGGGAGCTGGAGCTCAGCCCGTCACCCAAATCTCACAAGCCTTGTGCTGCTGAGCTTGAATTAGCTTGGCCTCACAGGGCCACCGACCTGTAATTTTGATTTCCCAGAACGCAGAAAGCTGTTGGTACATCTTGCCAAGGCTCTCCAACCGCATGAAGAGTGGTGAAGCCTCAGCTCAGAATCACCTGAGTGTTCACCTCTGCACCTTCTCAAGGCCAGAGAAGACTCAGCCCCAGCCACACAGTTCAGGCCATGGGCACATCATCACAGTGCTGACAAATCAGAAGCTGACTGACATCCATGTACCAGGGCATGATCTGTTCCCACTGGAAGTGACATGAAGCAGGATTACAAGGAACGCTTGCCATGATGGGATTTTTGGTATTACTTCACATTCTTAGGAAGAAGAAACCATTTCAACAAGAACTAAGGCTGTATTGATGGCTCAGTGCTTGCTACACTGAGCTTCTTAGCTCTGTTACTGATGTGCTGTGGGGCTCTGGGTAAGACACTTAAGGTTAAGTTCTTAGTGATCCCCTGCCTCTGTTTGAGTATCAGTGAAATAATAAGGGAAGGAAAATGTCTCCCTGTTGCACGCTGTATTTTTAAGATTGATTTAAGACTGCAAATGAAGACAGCACTGGGAAAGCCTTGCGCTGAAAACACCCTCAGAAGTATTATAATAATTTAATATTCTTGGGTATTTATAGGCTCCATCATTACCATTCCGAGGTACACAAATGCCTCACAAGCCTATTTCCACAACAACACCAATAATAGGGCTTGTGTTCTCACTCACTGGAGCGCAGAGGCTGAGCTACCTGCCAAGATGTCAGAGCAGATCAGTCAACCAGTTCTGACCCTCTTCAGCTAATGTTGCAACCAGTTAGACACTTCTCATTCCCAGCAGTTCCTCCCTAAAATCAGATTCAGGAGAAGGACAGCACTCTTTAACTTCTTGGATCAGATGTTTCTGGTCAGAAACAAGGCCTGTGAAACATGTTCTCCAAACAGCTCTGGAAGGTTAGTTCTAGGTGAGGAGGAAAGTTACTGCTTTTATCTAACAAGATTTCCTGCTACCGAAGTCTTGATAAGGAGCCTGAGCATGAACAGCTGTTCTTGCTGCAAATCCAGACCTCTGGAGGTCTGACTGCCTCTGTCCTGCTGATTTATCCCCTGCAGGTGTACGTATGCTGCATGTAACCCTACATGGATGCAGGGTTATGTGTACCTTGTATAACCCCAGGAACAGCCATACTGATCAAACCCAATGCCTGCCTGACCCAACAACATCCTTGCAGCACATATCTTGGGAAGGCACAAATCCCAAGTCTGCACAGACAGATCCACCCCTCCTGCTCTGTGAGGCAGTGCTTTTCCTGTATTTGTAGGATAGTTACAGCAAGAAGCCTGATGGTTTATTTCCACTTATATCCAGAATGCAAATTGGGGCACACTCTGGCCCTACCTGTCTGGCTGGGCCCCAACCAAACTGCTGAGTGAAGGCAATGAGGCTGCCGGGTGCTGTTGTGGTCCTGGCTAGCACACCAAGCCAGCAGTGGCTGGAAGTGTGCCCTACATAGGCCAAATGGAAAAACAATGTAAGACAAAGGCCTGGCACCCCTGGAGCCAGAGAGAGGAAAAGCAGACCAGCAGAGAGCAGATAGGATCAGCAGGGCAGAGAGAGCTTCCCTTACAGAGGGTACAATTCAAACCTGTTGAAGCCATAGAAGAAGGTTTTAGACCTGATTGCAGTTGTGCTTATGGTGCCCTGCATTAAACAGTGGGGATGTAGCATCTCCTGAAAAGAATAGGGTTAATTTTCCATGCTGCCTCTGCTCCCTACAGCAATGCCAATCAGCATCGGGTGGTCTCGTGCTTTGGACAGGCTCTCAGCAGCAGCAGGAATCAGCCCAACAGCTCATTCCACACAGGCCACTGAGCAGCAGCCAGTGCGAGGCCTGGGCAGGCTGTGTGCTGCAGACAAGGGTGAAAAGCTGGATTACACCCCATTAGCACTCCCCCGAGCCCTGCAGTCCCTCCAGGCTCAGAAATTTTAAAGCACTTAGCGCAGACCTGCCAAGTCTCATTTACATGGAGGGAGACTGGCTCATTCATGAGTCATTTCAAAGCATGAGGCCAAACTGATCCCCAGCACTGTTCTGACGGGGTCAGAGGGTGAAGAAAAATCCATAAGTGAAAGGCAGCAGTAGATGGACACTAGGGATGAATTTATCCCTCTTTCTGAGGTGCTGAGGCTTTGCTAGAGGTGATTTTTTGAAAACCGTGGCCTATTTTCTACCAGTTCACTCAGCCAGAAAGCCTTGCACTTGGTGGAACGTGCTGTTGAAAATTCCCACAAAACGGGACTTCTCGAGGTTTCTAGGCCAAACGTTTGATTGACTCAGTGCAGTCAACAGAGCAAAGACATGCCTTGAAGTCCTGCTGCATCTGTCTCCCCCCAAAAAAGGGAAGCTGACAGGAGTTCGGCACACTGACAAGTTTACTTGCAAGCTGGGGATCTTTTCAGTCTCTGCGTAAAGCTTCGACTGCAGGGAGAGAGAGATGGATCAGCAGCGAGCGAGACTCTGGAACCCGGAGCTGGCAGGACTTCAACATGGAGTGAGGCTGCAAAGATGGCTGGGACCTCACTTTTAAAAGGGTCAGAATCAAGGCAAAGCTGATTTTATTTCTTTTTAAAATCAAGTGAAGGGTTTTTTTTTTCCAGTGGAGCTATGCAGAAGGTCCAGATCCAACTGGTGCCCATTTATGTGAAGAACAGAGTTCAAGCTTTTTTTTATCACTGTGTCACATCTTCTGCCATCTAATCTACATCACTGGAGCAAAGGCTCAGCTGCAGTGAGCTCCAGCAGGCTTTTTCTTCTAAGTTTGTTTTTATTTTTCTTTCTTTTGTCAAAATGATGTGAAATGCCAAGTTTGGACATGAAAGGAAGGAATATCTAAGTTCTGCTTTGAAGTTGGGGATTCAATTGAAGTGGGGCCTGAGATTTAAGGGGCTGCAAACCCATGTGACCTGAAACTCAAATAAATGTTTGTCTAGGCCCTGAGAGCTGAAACCAAGACATTTCACATCACCCCACTCTGGGATATGATTTACTGGCTTTCCAAAGTGAAGCCCACATGAGTACAGTGTCCTTGAAGTGACCAGCAGGACGAACTGATCAATTAAAATTGATGGATCTATCAATATTGACAGTGTCACGTCAAAGATGAGGACATCTGACTAGAATACCAGTTCTTTTTAGAGAAAGGGACAAAAATATTTGTGTGTCTTAACTTCAAAGCCTCAGCATGACCACCGGGATTATTGTGACAAAGCACACTGACATGGTCACAGACGTGACAGGTTGACAAATGAGGGCTGGTGGGTGGTGCTGTCTCTAGGAGTGTGAGAGAGGGGAGATCAGACTGAAACACAATCTGCCAACAACAAAAGAAGTCACTGAAGGGAAGTCCTGGGCATTTCAGAGGCCCACTTTCTTACCAAAGAAATGAGAGGAGGAGGGAATCTCCTTTTGTTTGTTGGTTGCTTGTGACCTAGATACCTTGCAGCTAGATCAGCAAATCCATCTGGCTAAAAGTACAGAAAAATAAACTTCTGTTTGTTTGCTGAGTTAACAGAGAAGACTATGCACTGCCCTGATGATCCTGAGCAGAGAAGAGGGACAGGAAAGCATCCTGTGGTGTTGGGTGAGCGTGCAATTCTGTCCATATTCACAGCTGGCACTCAGGCAGGGGTGGGAAGTTGGCTACATCTTTAAATTCAATACAGCTCACAGCAGCTGAGGTGAAACCTGGATTTTTCCATTAGATGGGACATGGCCAAAGAGTGCAACCACGTGTTCTGCCCAGGGCATCCAAAAGTCCTACCCACTCTGCAATAAAGCACAGAGCTCATGATGGGGAAAGCAATGTCAGAAGGGTTTAGAGTGGGACTAACAGCACATCGATGGCCCTTCAGAAAATTCCATCAAGCCAATTCAATTCATTTAACTGGCAGAAAAAATAATGCAATAAAGAAAAGCAGGAAAAAGAAATATTTCCCTGCCAGTTTAGGGGGCTGAACTGGCCCATGGAGGGATCTGATAGGGATCTGCCTGAAAATGCCCCCAGTGCTTTCAGCAATAGCAAGATGTTAAGATGGTTTCAGCCATTTGGAGGAACATCACCTGCACATTCTGCCCTTTCTCCAGAGATGAGGGGACAATGCACGTGCCCACTCAATACTGACTCTGTCTTCTCTGTAAAGTTTTACACCAGTGTGCTCATATGGAGAGGGAAGTCTGCACAAGAAGTCTCCCCTCTGTCTCAAAGTGATCTCAAAGTGATCAAAGAAATCTCCTGCTGCTCTGGGTATGCCTAAAAATACTGATGAAAGGAATTATACAACACACACTCCTCTGGTTTCAAGGTGGCTTCTTTTGTGTACTGCGTGGCCCTTTGTGCAGCACCAGATCGAGACAGTTCCTTGTAAGGCCAGGCTGTCAGCCTCCCGCCCCTCTCCTAAAATAATATCCCTACCCCTCCTTTTTAGGAAAATACGATAGTAAAATGCAAGGGACAGCAAGAAAGATTCAGAAACAGGTGTAAACTCTGAAGCTACTTTGAACTCAGTTATTGGGAGCTGCCCTAACTTTCTGAGAGAGTTCAAGACATGGAAAACATCCAGACAGGGATGTGACCCTATCTTCTTGCAAACTTTGGCTCCTCCAATTTGGCCACAGTTCAGTACAGCTTTTTCCTCAATTCTTACTCCCACAGACATGAGTTCAGCATCGATTTTCTCAATCTGGCCAAAACTAGCAGATATTTTGGGTCAATTTGCCTTTTCCCAATCTCAGGTGGAAAGGGAGGACAGGAAAGGAGCCACCACCTGGACTTGACCTTGCTGACACTGTGAGGAGTGAGAAGGACTCACCAACCACAACATGCATTTCCCACTCCAACATGCTTACCTTGCTTTGCTTCCTGTCCAGGTAGAACTGGTGTTGACTAATGGCCATAGCCCAGATAGACTTTATTAGTGCTGGACAGGCGTACCACGTATGCACAGCGATGCCACTATGCCCAAAAGTCCTCCTGGTCACAGATGCCCTGGAGAGGAGAAAAGAATGAACTGGGGTTACACCAAGGCTGCATCGCATTTCTTTCTGTGGCAGATCCTGCCACAGATCTCCTGGTAAAAGCTGCTGTCTTTCCTGTGCACACCCTTGTGCTAATGAGAAAGAATGCTTAGAAAACAGCAATAAATAGCTAATCAAGCCAGGAGAGCATTTACTTTAAGTATCACCTCAAGACAGCAAGCTCCAGAGGACTAACAGTAAAGATGATCCAGTTTGTCCAGTTCTGACTGTATTCCTGGGTTTGGCTGAGCTGGTGCTGACTTGCTACATATGCCAGGGGTGTCACCAAGGCCAAAGCAGGTGTGAATGCTCTGTCTCATTACATGCTGAGACACCTGAGGCCAAGTCCTCACACCCTCCACTAACTCTGGCTTTGGACAGAGGCTCTCAAATATTAGGACCCACACAGCAACTAAAGATCCATAGGAACGATGGCTACTTTAGGGAATGTGGGAGAAACTTTTCAGATACCTTGTGAACAGATACAGCAGGACTTGCCAAGTGTATGGGAGAGGGGAGTTGTGAGGCTTGGAGGGGGCTGCCCAGTACCCTGGAGAGAAGAACGGTACTCAATGATTAGCTGAGTGTATTTAAAAACAGGAAAAATAAGAGCTAAATGTTTCCTCTCTGGGACTCCCAATTGTTCTCAAACATAGCAAAAAACCACAGATTAGGTTTCCCCGTGCTTTCACAGCTGTACGGAACTGCTTGATTTTTCCTCCCCATCCCTCAGCTTCAACTCCACCAGCAGAGCCCCTGACACCAGCACACTGGCACATCCAGGCTCACAGCATCCTGGTCTGCAGAACTCCTCCCACTGCAGGGATAGAGAGCTGGCTGGAATAAACCACGCCACCAATCTACAGAGCCCCAAACAAATGAGGGCCTCCTCTCCAGTCTTTTAAGAAGAGTCTTGTGGTGGAGTACAACGTGAAATGATGTGACATGGTTACAGAGGCTCGCTCAGAAACGTGACACTTGTCCCTTTTATGCAGGGATGTGGATGCTGGAAGAGGGACCAGTGCGAGAGACAGCCTGGGGAGCAGGTGTACTACAGTGGGGTTGCCACCATCAGCAGGGACCCTGTGCCATGCAGTTGTGGAGGTAGCACTGCAGGAGGGCCCAGGAGCTCCACTGTGCTGTGCAAGAGATAGATGACTCTTTTACCAGCACTTAGAAGTCCTCAAGCCTGCTAAGGCCACCTCCTGCACCTGCAGTGGCTACCTCTCCTCTGGTGCCTATGGGCTACTGCCCTGTCCAAACTTGGAGGTGAACGTGGTGAGTGGAGGCACACAGTCAAAGAAAGTTGTGACACAGCCAAGAGTGAAAGAAAACCAAAACTCTGCAGCAAAATGAGAACTGCTGGCAATGTTCAGCTTGGGAGAGGACTGACAGCTCTTGTGTCTCAGGGCCTTTTCAGTGCTTCAAAATGTGTTAAAGTCAAATTATGAAGCTACAAATCGGAGTGAAATTTCTGAGAAAACAGCAGTGGCCAATGCAAACAGGGTCTGAGACAACTGGGATCTCAGGTTTCAGTGTTACCCTGTGCTGAGTCCTTTCCATGCAACTGTCCCATTTAGGAGTATTATTCTCATGACAAAATTCTCCCTGGATACAACAGGACACCGGCTGATGGTGCTAATGAGGATGGTTGCTGAGCTGCCTCATTCCTGTCACTGGACAGGGAATGAAGGTTGTGCTGGGAGACAATCTTGAAGCTGAGGCTAGAGAGAGAAAGAGATCCAACTCTGAGTGCTTTATGTTGGTTTAAGGGACACAAACCACTGTAGCACACTGGCATGCAAGGCATTAAGGCACTCAAACATGGGCTGAAGCCTTAATTCTGATGTAATCATATTCAGTTCAAATGTAGTTACTCCAAGAACTCTTAGAAACATATTCTGCAAACCATTCCTCTTCTCGTAATAAAAACAGTGATTTCCAATTTTTTTTCTCTTTGGGATTTGTACACGTTTCCCATCAAAACTGCAGACCCCAAAAGTCTGTAGACTTTGCTGGTCAGAGCTGTGGACTTGTTTTTCACAACTGTATTCTGAGGACTTGAGAGAGGTGGCCCATGGGTGTTTTTTCCATGACTTCCCTCCATGCATGCTATGTGCACTATGGAATTAACCCTGCTGATACCCCAAAAATGTATAATTTTTCTCCTTTATGGGATAAGTAACTGCAGTGAAGAGAGGTTAAATGGCTTGTCGGGGACAGGAAGCCATGGGCAGAGGCAGGGTTTAAAAACACACATTGTGCTGCCCAGCCCTGGCCACAATCACGGAGCTGCGCTCGCTCTCCTGACTGTGGCTTCGCTGACTCAGGCTCTGGTTTGGCTACACAGAGAGGAATGTGGAGAGAGCACTGTGTTGGCTACTCCTCCGCCTCCACATGCTGAACAACTCCTCGCAGGAGTCCATCCCACTTGGCCAGGAGACTACACACCGAGCTGTGTTCCCACCACGTCACTGCAACGTGCCGTGCTGCTTTACAGCCAGAGCACCAGTTCGACTTGGACGGTGGTGCTCTGAATGCAAAAATGAATCAAAAACCCAGCCACAATAATTCCCTTGTAGCGAGAAAGTACCAGGCTGACAACCTGGGACAGGGCTTTGTCCTCCTGGTGTTGATTCAGAGAAAAAAACGCAATGGAATAAAAAAGCGGAAGCTCTTCTGTGTCGCTAATTCCTGTCATCTAAACACGAATGAAACAGAAGAGGTTCCTCTGTGTGGTCACGTTTCATGCATGACATTGAGTTGCAAGTATCATCATGATTCTTAACGTCCCTGAGCTGTTTCTTTTCTTTTCCTCGGAACTGCTCCTTGCAGGAAACAGCCATAACTCAGGGCATTTAGGGGCTCCTGGCTGCTGGTTGCTTGCAGCAAGGTTTCTGACACCTCTGGAGGCTCGGTGAGTGCACCACCCCCAGCTCCTGCTGCTGGAAGATCTCCCAGCGGATTCTCGACTTTGGGAATTCGCTCTGCTAGATTTCATGCGACTATTTACATGCTTAATATTAAGCAGATGCTTCAAGGCTCTGCCGACCTAGAGCTGCACAATGATATGAGCTGCTCTATTCTGGTTTTGCTTTAACAAAATGCACCTCTGCAGACAGGCACCACTGTACTGGTGTGATCGTGTTCATGTCAGGATAAATAAGCACAGAAACTGCATGCAAAATTCCACTAACAAAAGTACGTATATTAGTACACAGATAGGCATGGGAAACAGGTGAAACAGGATCACAGCTGAGTGATCAGCAAAACACACTACTACCAGCAGCACATCAAATCAGCCTGGGAACAGAGCTGGTCTCCACCAGTTGTATCATACTTACACTGCAAGTGAGACATTGCTTTTAGTGAGAAACACTTACAGATCCATATTCACACTGGTCACTGCAGTAACCATCCACTAACGCAAACACACAAGGGGTGCTGAATACTCTGATGAGATGCAGCACAGTCCCTTGAACTAACTCTCAGGTTTCTAAAGTAAGAAAAGACAAGACTCCTGTGCCAAAAAGACAGATGGGCTTTCATCCAGGCTGCCGGTAAACCTCTGGTTCCGTGCCATTCCTTTCAGTTGCACTACTGAATATTTATTTACAAGGAAGCATGTGAGTACAAAATCTGGCGCCCAGCTCTGAGCTCCGAGTGCAACACAGGGACAAGGCAAAACCCCCTTAAACTCACGGGGGCTGCTGGCACCGCAGCTGGGGCACCGGAGCTGCACAGTCCCGGGGGTCACAAGGTGCCAAAACAGAGGGAAGGAGAAAAAAATACCGCTGGGAGCCGAGGGGAAACACATCCTCAAAAACACCCACCCGAACAAGAAATGTCCCGCTGGAAGGAAGCGGCAGCCCCCGGCTTGGCACCCGCTGTCCCTCTCTTACGGGTTCCCAAGCTCAGCGAGCCCCGGCACAGCAGCGAGGGCAGCGCGGCTCCGCAAGACCCGGCTCAAGGCTCGGCACCGCAAAGCCCGGCTCATCCCGGCTCGTCTCATCGCTCACCTGCGCGGATCGTGCACCTCCACCGAGAACTTCTTCTCGCGGAAATAGAGGTTCTCCAGCTGCCTCCATTGAAAGATCTGCGGGGAAGAATGAAGGGGATGAGGCGCCTCCGCGCGATCCCTCGCCCAGCCCTGCTCGCGCTCCCTCCCGGCGCTGCGGCGGGGCTGCCCCGCTCCGCTCCGCCCCGGCCCGCGTCCCCCCGCGCCCCCCGCCCCGGGCCGCGGGGCAGCCCCGGGGCGGGCGGCGTGCCCTTCCGTCCCTCCTCCCGCTGCCGGCGGCGGATGGGAGCCGCGGGCAGGCGGGCAAGGGCGCCGGTTTCACTCTGCGGGGCCAAGTACGTTTAAACACACGCAAAGCCCGGGAAAACCCGGGATTCGCATAGTTTTTCCTTGGAGGATGCAGCGGGTGTGCCCTCTAGCACAGCAGCTTTTCTGCGGGTGGAGGAGGTGAGACCCCGATGAGGGCGACTCACCCCACTCCACCCAAGTGCGATACCCAGCTCTGCTTTTATCCCGCAATCCACGTAAGACTGGCACGAACATGAGCCCAGCGGAGTCAGTTTATTTATCCCAGGTGCTGGCAGGCTCGTGTTGGCGATGCCCAAGGCTCCAGGTGCTCCCAGCAGTGCAAACCACGGCAATAAGCAGGTCATACCTCTGTTTTACAGGCTGCCCTGCCGAGGCATCTCAGAACAGCACCGGGACAAAGCGAACACTATCACTAGTGGGGAAACTGAGGCACAAAGCTGTTACGGGAGTAAAATGCGGCACCTCCTCGCCCCTGAGTCAGTATGGGCCAGCTCTGGGGTGTCTGCGTGCTCCTGGGCAGTGGGATGTGCTCACACGGTCTCTGTGCCCCACCTCTGCTGGGAAATAACTCCCCTTTCCCTGGCAGGAGGGCGGTCTGACCACAGGAGCAGCGCGAAGGATGCGGTGACTGTGAAACACCGTGTCAGCTCTGCAAACTACCCCACCTTCACCGCCGCGGACAGGTCCATCACCGCCTCCTCCTTACAAATGAGTAAGTCAAAATCCAAACCCTGGCTTCCAGGTTGCTAATCCACTGGGAGGAGGCAGCCTCCACCCCGTGGGCATCTTGGACTTCGGCTTCCCTGCACTGCCCCTGGCAAGCAGCGGAGCATGGGGAGCGTAACCTCGCTGCTGGGGAGCACAGCCATCAGAGCTTTCCCTGATTTACGCTCCTTCTCCCACTACAAGTAGCTTCTGTGTAGTTCCTGTCCTACCCCCAAGGAAGGCGCTGGCTCCTGCCACGCCGAGATAAGCCGGGTTGCCGGTGTCAGCGCTCTGGAGATAAGTAAACAGGAGGCGTAATTTGATTTGCACTGATTAAGCTCCTGGTGGAGGTGAAATCTAGAGAATAAAACAAACCATGGAGAGGACCCAAAATTTTCTCCTCGCTAATGTTTTTTTTTTTTTGTGTGTGTTCCTTTTCTTTTCTTCCTCTAACAAGGTGTTTGGAAGGAAGGGTGCAGGATGAGGAGGGCACTGAGCTGCCCTGTACTCTGGGGCTGTTTGCACTGCAGGAGGATAGGAGAGAAAGGGGGCCAGGAGGGATAGGAAGCCTGGAGGGCTGGGTTACAGTGCCCTTAGAGGATTAGTTTATTCCTCCACTGGAAAATTTAATTGCTGCATATAAGTTGTAATCACCAAATGAAGCACAGAAACACCCACTATTTTACCCACCGAGGGAGGACAGGCATGGGGTGAAAGGGTTAAGCCAGGAGCTGAAGTCTGACTGAAGTCTGTCTCCTTTGCAAGCTCCTGGCTTCAAAGGCATGAAAAGGAAGTTTGGGGCCTAAACTCCCACTGACAACAACTGGGGTCAAGCCTGAGACTGCCATGTGGGCTGCTGAAAACATCCATCCCTCCGTGCTTCCAGATGCCTGTCTGCAAGGCGGGGAGGATAGCGCAGCCGTGCTGCACGGCATATGCAGAGGACGTGTTTGGGAGGCGCTCAGACATGTGGAACACATAAGAGTCTAAAAAGCCAGCAGATCACACCCTTCAGAAAATATCCCTCTGTCCCCAGGTCCCCCGTTGTCATTTATGACTAAATTTCGGCGTGGCGCAAAAGGAATTTGAAACTTCTCTGAGCTGCTGGCAGCTGCTCTACTCAGCTTCTTTCCTGCCCATCGTCCTCCTCTTCTGCCCATCCTCCTCCCTCCAACTCAGCCGGACTGTCCCCTGTGCTCAGATCCTATTTTACCCTCTCTGCTACCAAATCTCACAGTGCTATTTGTTAAGTGAAGCTCTGTTTCTCTTTTATGATTAACTCCAACTGTCCAAACACACAGGGCTCTGGGGAAGCTGTTCAGATGCCCAAATGTAGGCATGGAGTGCCCTTTTCCATGCCCCAGGGTACTCTGCCTGGCCTCTGGCTGCTGCCCTGGGAGGGAGGGAGCCTGCCATAGGTCCGGTGCTGTATCTGCCAGCCCCACTCAGATGTCTTGGATCACCAGCAGTGCCTAAAACAGCATTAGACACCTACGTTTTGGGCATTGGAGCAGCTCTCCAGATCACTGCATTTTTATATTTAGTTTCTTTGTTTTTCTTGGCAGGGTGTGGAAGGAGGCAAATCCAGACTCTTGGGAGGGAGGGGGTGAAAGTGACCCCACAACCTGAGTTTGTGTCTTTTTTTCCATAGCTCTGCTCTCCAGAATGCACACGTGTGTTTTACCATTGCTGTAACTGCCCTCCCTTTGCTGCCCTCCCAAATATTATTCTACAGTCTCCCACTCCTTCTTCCCACATTGATCTGAGAGGTCTCCCCCTTTGTATACATAAGGGATCCAATCTGCAAAAATGTGAATACCCACAAGAAAGTATCCGCTTTCCTGTTAACCGATCACAACCCTTCCAGAGAAACAAAGCCAAAGGTCTCCCTTCAGCCAGACCTCCTAATGTAAGCAAGCTGTTCCCTTCACCAGTTACCCAGCTTATGCACAGTCTCAGATTGATGTTGTTAATGCAGTGACAGATGCACAAGGTGCCATTAGTGGGTCTTCTTAAAAGGAAGCATAATTTTTACCCATCAAGATCCTTTTACCACGCCGGTGCTTGCAACCCTCACTGGGGAATAGAGTCACAGCAGGGAGCTGGTCGTAATTTCAGCGGGATCTTGTGGAAATGCAGTGACAACAGATGCTTGCTGGCTTTGGGACTGGTTTGAGTCAGAGCATCCATGTTCATGGCAGGTTTGCCTCTCCTTGCACTGAGGCTGGGCTTGGTTTTGGGTTATTTGGTTAGTTTGCAGGGTCGAATCCAATGCCTGCATTTGTGGGTGGGACAATTCAGATTGAGGTATGGTGACTTTGCCAGGCAAAAGGTACCTGTCCCAAGCAGGGACTGGGACAGTATCTCCACAAACACGCTGGAAATGAGGCTTAGGAGAAAGTCCCTCAGTAACACAAGCTGGGAGCACAGTTCCCCTGCCCTTGGGTAGTTGCCTTCCCTGAGAGCCGGCAGACAAGGGGACAATTAGCAGTGCGTGCAGAGGGCTGTCTCTCTGTGTTGTGGTGGTTTGCCTGCTGGGTTCTCTTCTGAGGTCAGCAGCTCATTTTGGATCATGCAGCACTGGGCAGCTTTCAGATGGGAACAGTTTTTGGTAGAGGCCATCATTACAGGCTGCACATGAGATCATTTAATCTTCAATAGATACTTAAGGAAGTCTCCATAAGGCTGGCTTTTGAGCACAGCTGCACACTCACACATGCACGTGAAAGGAGCTACTAAAAGAAGAGAAAATAATTACTCCTGTTTCCTCCTCCTCTGAGGGGACTGTCCCCACCGTGGGCTCTGTTTCATTGTGCCAATAAAACCAGGACCAACACTATCACTCGAATTTTTAAAACTGCTTATCAACCCACAAACATTTAGGGGAATAACTGTTCTCTGTCAGACCACGTGCACTATTTAAAATGCGTTGTAGTGGGTGGGAAGGCCATGGTGGGGAAATCAGTGCCAGAAATGGCTTCTGCAAAGCTGGCAGCTTAGAAGAGGAGCCATGGGAGAGATCTGAGTACTGTACGGTGTGCTGCGGAGAATTCAGGTGCAGGCTACAGGAATTTTCTCATTGGAAACCCTTTCCAAGAGGCAGGCAAGCTTGCCAGGCACCAGATGTTTGTGACTAGTTACAAAGAGCTGCAGTCAAAGCCTTTTAGATGCAAGCTTCTTTTGTGAGCACACTTGTGGTTTGCTGGCTGCTCCCTAATTAAGCTGAGCCTGGAGGAGAGGAGGCCCAGGGATCTGCATCCATTTCAGCCATGTGAGTCAGGAGAAGGTTTTTACCATTTTTATTGACCATGAGGCGGGTGCCGTGGAGTTTGCACACAGCAGGAGGTAGGGACAGTGTCAGAGTATTTGAAAAATGCCTGAGGCTCCTGATAAAGAAGGGAGCGTGTTTTGTGAATGAAACATCAGGGATTGCTTCTGGCTGGGTCACTCATGGCCTGGGTGTGGGGGGCTGAGTTAGTGCCAGGCACTAGGCCATGCTCTGTCCCTTTGTGCTCAGGGAGCCTTGCCTGAGCATCCAGTGGAAGGACCATGCCACACCCTTGGGAATCCCTGGCAGTAATGAGGCTGTTGTTGGCTCCTGTGTTGCCCTGCAGCTCAGGACAGAGAGGGTTGCTGAAGGGCAGCACCGGTGGTTGGTGCACAGTGCTCTCTGAATTATGGTACCTAAAGAAACATGCCCAAATAGTACCTTTTGGAGTAATTCCAAATCCTGGGGTTGGGGTATTGGCTCCCTGATACTGTTTGTTGCCTCCTGTGCCCAGAAGAGCTGGACTTGCACTGAACTGGGGAGAGTGCTGAGACTGGGCGAGCGCACTGTGGGGACACGATGTGAATAATTTTTGCGTTTTATCTGTTAAGAACCAAATATAAATGTGCAGGAGTCTCATTTTCTTTCCTTTTTCTGTGTGCTGAAGCACCTGAGCTGTGGTACAGGCTGAATGGGTCACCCAGTGATGCACACACTCTCAGGGGTTCCAGACATCACACCTGGTAGCTGTTCAGAATCAAACTATCTGCAGAGGTCTACAGGGATCTACCTGCTG